TAATATTGACCCGAGCAAAGCAAATCGATAACGAGACAGTAAACCCTTTTACGCGTTGTTGAAATGTTTTATTCAACCCCGGCGAGAGAGATGCGTCGCGGAAGTTTGCGAGAAGACACCTGCGGCTGGTCGTATTCTTACGTTTACTCGAGGGCGAGCACGTGGTGCGGCCAGGGTCGCGCTCCCATTCAGAAAGGAGGTTATGTAGCAGCGCGGAGAAGCGAGAGAGGAGAGAAACAGAGAGAGAGGAAGAAAGAGAGAAAGAGAGTGAGGGAGAGAGGTTTATACTCGTGACGCCCGTTACATTATCAATTCCGTTATGGCGCCGTATTCGTAATAGTGGAGACGACCCTACGACCGTCTTCGGGGATTCCCTCTTCTTCCCCTTCCTCCCCCTCACGCCTTGTCTTCTCACCGGCGTGCTTTCACCTTCTCTCTCTTCCTACTTCACCACCCTCCCCTCTCTCCCCGCCTCTCAGGCGTCATTCCACCCCGTTTTTCTCTTTTCCCTCGTGCTCTCTTTCCTCTCTTCTTTTTCTTTCTCTTCTTTTCTTTCCTTCCGGTGTTCTCTCTATATAAAGCGCCTTACTTTCCCTTAGTACGCTCTCTCTTGGCGAACAACTCCCAACCCCTCCATTCTCCCCGTCCGTTCCGTGAACCTTTCCACGAAGGTCGATCTTTTTTGCGGATTTACACCTGTTGGACTTCGTTCGCGTTCCAATCGCTTCTTTATTTCTCTTTGAACAGGAGACATCGCTCGTTCATGGCGCGGAGAAAAATCTTACAACAGATTTCTCATGTATAAACACACAATCCACACCTGCTGGAGTTGTGTGCGATTCTCATGCAGTGTTTGTTGTACATTTAAAAGTGTGTAATATTAGCATATAATTTTAACGGAGATAAATCTTTCTTTTATGTTTTTCCGCGCTCTCTTGGAAACATACTCGTAAACTTTTTCTCGTTAGAAAAGCAACATGCAATATGATTCACTGAATTCTTTTATTTTTAGTTACATTATTCTTTTTCTTTCTCTTTTTGATCTTTCATTCAATAATAATTACGTCAGCTCATTCAACAACAGCTAAAAATATAATCGCTCTTGTGTGCATACAATTCCCACGGAAATTCACCGATCAATCGCGATTCTCCTCGTCTTCTTCCCCCGCCTTCTCGATCGTCGCGATTTACCTAAAAGGCAAACGCGCGACCGGAAGTGACGCTGCCGGAGGGGTAGATCCGGGGGTTTTTTTTTTTTCACCGGCGTCTCGCGTCAATTAGTCCGGGATAATTGGTCGGCCGATGCCCTTGAACCCTAAGTATTGATTGGTGAGGTCGGATTCTGCCGGTGCGACCGTGTCCCTCTCGCCTCCAAACCGATGGCACCACCCCTATGCATCCACCTCCGAACCGACCAACCAGCCAACCACCCGCCCCGTCGCCGTCGCCGCCTAACTCCCGCAGCGCAAACCTCCCCTTTCCCCCTTGCGCTCTTCCCCGCTTTTGCAACCTTCCGTCCGTGGTTCTCCAAGTGCCGTCGCAGCCGTTAAAGCACCGCGTGTCGGCAAAGGTTTTTCCGCCCTTTATTTATTTAATTGAACTACGAAACGCCATTTCCCACGAGCGCAATCCGAGCCTACTCTTTCCGCTCCCCGTGCGTCTCTTTTCATTTTTCTTTTTCCGCGTCCATTCCGTTTCCGCGACACACTGTGGAATGACAAAATCTCACCTAGAAAAATCAATTGAAGACGTTGAACAAGCAAACATATTCTCTCAGATTCATCAGATTACGGAAAAACAAAAATTAAACTAATAATTTAACAATCTTTATTATCGAAAATACCTATCTATACGATATAACAAATTTTATGCTTAATGATTTTGCCCCAATTACGGGCTGCTCTAATATCGACTGCGTGCTGTTGAAACACACAGTACACACAGAATAATATAATATTTCAAAACAAACTTTAAAAATGTATTAATTAAATATAATAATTGTATATTATACAAATACAAAAATACAAGTTCAAGAAAAAATAAGTAAAATGTAGAAAATAATTTATAGAGACTTGATATTCGAAGTACGTAAGTACACTTCGTACGTACTAAAAAGTTATGTAGTTTATGTGTAAAACTTGTGTTTTTTTTTTGGAGTGTTCCAAACGCGCGACGAGGCGCTTGTAGTAGTGAAAGAAAAGCTATCGAAACCGACTTTCTACAACTTCGCCCAACTTGACTTCGGAGTTGTCATCTTTTCGAAGGAATTAAGTAAACAAAACGATGTTAACAAGTGTTGCTAATAGACAGATGTTGCCACTCAGTTGTTTGGATAAAATAAATTCTAATATTCTGCCAATTTATTCGTGTCGCTATTGTCTTGCTGAAAAGAATGAAAGTTGACATTGTTTTGACTGTTCTAAAAAATGTAAAAGAAACGTTAAAAGAATCAACTCTGAATTATTCGCTTTTCACACTGCCTATTTAATAATGCATTCGCGTCAAACGTGATCTCTCATATTATCATCTACGTTTAATAAAACCGTTAATAAAAGCGGTAGTCACGCGTAATATAGAAAAGATGAAAGATTGCGCCTTCAGTGCGGCTTTAATCCCCAATGACAACGGAATATGAAAGTTTTGCACATTCATAATCGGAAATTGCCACATTTAACGCTATAAACGCGCACGTTCCGGGCCTCCTTGCCAAAAGCCACGCTGCCGTCGCTCGTCATCGTCGTCAGGTTCGTTCACTCGCTCGCTTCGTCCCGACGGAGACGCTCGATTATCGCGTGTGCCCCGCGACCCGACCAGCGCCATCAAACTCCCGCGCCGCCGAGATCGAAGATCCGCGGACGTTTTCGGGGCGGCCGTGCACACGCCCGGCCGTAACGAACCGGCGAACGCGAACGAAGGCGTGAGAGTAAGAGAGAGAGGTAGAGACAGGCGGACGTGTGCGCGCGTAGAAACGCTTGAAAGTCATTGGTGTCGATGCCGTCGCGAACACGCTGAGGAAAGAGAGGGAAGGAGAGAGACAGGAGGGTATGCGTGTCGGGGGTTGGGGGTGGTCGATACGGGCCTGGGGCCGCGACAGCCACGTCGGAGGCCTCCCCATTCTTCCTGCGGGCGTTTTTGCCTCCGCCACGTTTCAGTCCTCTCACTCTCTCCGTCATCCCTTTACTCTCCCGCATCGTCTCCTCCTTTCCCTCTTATTTCTCTCTTCTTTCCTCTCTGAATTTTTCTCCCTTTCTCTTTCTTTCTTGCTTCCCGTCTCACCGTTTCCCTTTCTCTTCATCGTGTTCTCTCTCTCTCTCTCTCTCTCTCTCTTTCCTTCTTTCCCCCGTTCTCTCTTGCTCACTCTCCCTCATTCTCTCCTTGTCACGCTCTCTCAATCTATCCAGGCCGATCCGCCGTCTCTCCCTCCGTCTCCACCCACGCAACGCGTTCCAGCCGCCAACCGACGTCCCCTCCGCCCCGATGCAACCTCTGCCTCTGTCCCCCTGTCCTCTTCCCACTACCCTCCTCTCTTCCCCGCGGTTGCCCCGTGGTGCCACTCTCACGCCGCCGGCAACCGCGCAGACCCCGCCTAATCGTGCCACCCCTGGCTTGATTAAAGAACAGAGAGGCTCGGTACGAGGGTTGCTGTCGTTAGTTCTCTTTTCTCTCTCTTTCTCTTTCTTCTATCTCCGTCTCTCCTACATTGTCGTTCTTCTTTGGTCAACATTCGCGTAAGGTTCTTCCCTTAGCATGTCTCTCTTTCGTGCGACGGTTCGGCCACGTGGACATTCTAACATCCCGAGAAGCCACGCGCGACTTGACGGCTTCGCCACGCGGAGATGGTATCCATCAACTTTCTTTCTTGACTTCACTTTCTCCCTCTTCCGCTGTTCATTTGTCTTTTAAACTTCTCTCCTCGTCACACTCGTCGAGATTTCAAGGTTACTTCGTGACAAGATATATCGCGAAGACTGTTAACCATAAATCTTTGAGTGCCGCTCGTTTGTTTAAAATAAAAGATATACCTTTATATATGTGTATATATTAATCGTTAAAATGTGTATATCATATAAAGTTGATAAGTTATTGAGGAAAAAAAAAGAAATTTTTATTGTATGTAAAAGTATTTTTAACACGCGTTAAAACTTTTCTTGGAGGAAGAATCATCTTCGATATTTAAAGTCGCAAGTTACGAGCAAGTTTCTTTGTTTTTTTCTTTTTCTTTTTTTGAAAAACTTAAACTGTAAAAATTAAGTCTCTTGTTTTCAATTAGAGATATAATTGCTGAGACGTGAAATTTCTCGTTGTCAAGAAATTGGAAGAACGACTCGGCTTACCGGAACCAAATCGGCGATTCAGATTTTTAGAAGCCACGGTCGCGGAGGGTGGACGAACGTCGTCGTCGTCGCCGTCGCCGCCGCCGTCGAGATGAAATTGCACCGCCGCCGGGCGGAACGAGATGCCGGGGACGACGAGCTCGTGCGAGAAATATGCAAATCCAATCGGACCGGACTAGCGCGGTCTTTCGCTTGCTTCGCAAAGCGGTTTACCGAAATGAGCATTTTTCTATTCCGCGACCGAGCGCGCGCGCGCGCGCGCCTTGATCTCCGAACGGCGACCTTTCTGCGCGCATTTTCAGCACACATTTGTCTCGATTACTCGATATATTTACGCTAATTAATGAACTAATTCATTTACACATATAATTCGCTGTAATTCACGCAGCACAATGATATTGAACAAAAATATCGATTCCCACAATTCGGAAACAATTTTTAATGTATAATTTATTTGCAAACTAATAAACCTTGACGCGTGTATTGTGAAGTAATAAAGTAGATTGAGATTTTTTTACTGGCATCATATTTTTATTCGCATTGTATTACTTTTATTCACAAAACACACAAAGAATAAGACACATTGCGAAAGCTAAAGACTTTTAAGTTCTATTGCCGCAACGATGCGTTAAAATGTGAAGTAAGTCTTTTCGTTTTCTCTTGCAGTCGCTGTTAAAGACGGCCGATCAGCTGAAGATCAAGGGCTTGTGCGAGGTGCCGGAAAACAGAGACGGTCCGCAACCTGTCACAAGTCTGAGCTCGCCACCGAGAGAATCCGGCACCCCGAGATTGAATTACACGAAGCTGAAGAAGCATCATCATCATCAGCGGTACAAGAGACCTAGAATCGAGCGGTCGACGTTTGAGCCGCGTGCCACCGATCCGAGACACTACGAACGTTACAAAGAGGAGGAGGGCAACAACGATTACAGCCGCGATAACAAAGAGGTATAACTCGCTGATTTCTGAGAAAGAGACTGAAGAGGATCCTCTATTAGTTTATACTTGATTGCCGTGAAATTTGATACTGTGAAATGGATATTTTATGAGAAATCAGGTAGTTGATTTGTGCTCACAGTTATTTTTGTTTTGTTCTTACACCGCGCATTTGTGTTACTCTTATTTGTGACACGATATAATTACGAATTGCTAAAAGAGAGCGTATAGTATATATGATGCGAATTTATATATACATTAAAACGCAAACAAAATTTTCTTCAAAGTTTTTTTTTTAAATTATTTTTTATAATTGGAAATTTATCTGTTATAGATAATACACACGTATTTTATTTTCACAATAGATATGTCAAATTTATATATTTTTATTTTTTAAAAACCTGAACGAAAATTTGACCACGATAAAACGTTTAACAACCCGAATTAACCGCTTGTAATGCGTTGTAAAAGCACGAAAAATGCACAAACGCGTGACTTTTCGACGTGTCGACGGGCGGTTCGATCTCGTCAGGGTCGACGCTAAATTCGTACCGGATATTCCGCAGAACCATCGGGACTGGCAAGCCGAAGATGAAGAGTGCACGGAGACAGCAACAGCAGCAGTAGCACTGGAAAATTGCCAACGTAGTAGTAACAGTAGCAACAACAATAACAATAACAACGGTAACGGCGCGAATAACAACGGTAAGATTGTTAATTAAGATGTCCGCCCCACATCTGGTCTTTGTATTTGTTGGAATTTCTTTTCTGTTTTTGTGACTTATTTCCCACCATCGATTTGTGTTATTTCACACACACAAAAAAAACGGTTCATTACAACAATATCGTATCTATAAATTACTTTCTTTGTGTACAAATGACAACTTAAAATATAATTTTGTTTTCAGTGACTTTTTCTTTAATGATACTCAAATAAGAGAGTTTGTGTTTGATTAAAGAACGTCTGTGTGTGAGTTGCTTTTAATTGAGATTGTTTCGTGTGTCTAGATTCTGTGTCTCTCTAATTGTCTTCCCGATGCAAAGTAAATCAATATTTTCCAGAGTTATTTTCACTTTGGTAATACAAACTATGAGACATGTCCTTTTGTTTATACGCATTTATGAAATATATCTTTTCATAAGCTTTTAGATCAAACGCATTAAAAAAAAAAAAAAAGTGTTTCGTCGTACTAATTGCTATTATCCCGCGACAAACACATTTAGCGATTTAATTGAGAAAAAACATCTTCGTCGTGTGATTAATGAGAGATTCCAGGTGTGGGGCGATTTACCGTTTTCAGGACCACGCAGAGCAGACCTTTTTCACATCGAATAAAAAGGTGACATGTTCTGTCACACAGGGCTAGGTCACTACGGCCATCATCCGGATCCCGGAGAAGTCGATTTACCCCCCGAGACTCAACCTACCCCTCCTAGCGCCACCTTAGTAGGCACCACCATCACCCACCTGAGAGATCCGGATCATCATTCTACAGGTATAAAACTTTACAACTCTTGATTCGCGCGCTCACAGAAACGTCGATTCTTCGCGACGATGGTTGTTATCATTATACGACGCGAATAAAGCGATTATATAGAGCGACTATTTTTACCTTTGCGGTCGAGTGTGAATTTTTTTTTATCGCTAATTTTTGCTAATGAACAACGCGGAACAACGCAAATGTCCCAGCTGACTTGACTGCGAAGAGAATTTACAAGCGAGATGTGTGTCTAAGCGGTCACGAAAGGATAGTCGAAGGAGAAAGCATATTTTTTCTAGAATTAAAAATAGACTTTTTTTAAATATTTCAATTTATTAAAAATATAGAAGTATAGTGTTTTTTTAACAGAGATATGTGCAATAACATGTGTAGGTATCTAAGTAAGAAGCATATTTTTATTAAATATTATCTTTACCTCTCACTAAATAAGTTATGTTTCTCGTCAGTTTTGCAATCATAAATAATATTTTACCTAGAAATATTGTTTTTTTTTTTTTTTTACAAATCCTCATTCTCAGAACTCATCTGGTATACAGAACTCTTCTTCCTTTTTCACAAATATATCTTGAAGGTCAGATTTATTTTCTTTCAAGAGTATATTTTTAATCGTGTCTTCTTTCTCTACGTAATAGAAATCTCCCGTTTTACTCTCAGTCCATTCAGCAACGACCGTCGTACGTTTTTATTTGCCGCTCGGACGTGAGGGTGAGGGCGTGGGGTGAAACACTACTGGGCTGAAAATGTAGCCGGTCATTAGGCGGACAGGGAATCAAAATAATTGGCCTAATCATGCTTAACTGGTCACGATTAGATTTGCGTTGCTCGGCTTGTAGCAGCAGCAGTGGCAGCAACTCACGCAACCTCATTTAGCGTCCTTCCGCGTCCAGTTTCGCCTTTGACAGTGCTTGCTTATCGATCTTCAGATGTCGTCGAAGTTTTTCGCGAAACGCTAGGATACTTCGTCGTGAAAGATTCTCTCCCGATGTCTCGCAAAGCGTCAACAACGAGGTTTGTCACATCGATTTCTCACGATCTGTTCACAGAGATTCAAAACTGCGACAACGTCAAGATCAAGTTCGAAACGTTACACACAATGGATTCTTCGGACACGATCGATATAGACAGCCACATGTCAGACCGAGCGAGTGTGAGCTCGAAAAACGCAGCTGACAGTGACAACATGATGATGATAACACCGGAATTACTCGGACTTATGCCGTCGGGAAGCTCTGGTCAATCGGACTCCGGTGAGAACAACTCGAGGGGACACAGTGGGCAGTCCAGCTCGCATCACCATGGCTCGAAATCGTGGACACAAGAAGATATGGACGCGGCATTGGACGCGTTAAGAAATCACGACATGAGTCTGACGAAAGCGTCAGGTAATTGGATAGAATTGTGCTCTAATGTGTTGTCGGTCGCTATTTGTGCTAATGTTTCTGATAAAAATAATATATTCGATCAAATAACAAAGCAAATGTAAATGATTGCGTTTCAGCAACCTTTGGTATTCCTTCGACAACTTTATGGCAACGAGCACATCGGTTAGGAATCGATACACCGAAGAAAGATGGTCCAACAAAATCTTGGAGTGACGAGAGCTTGAACAATGCTTTAGAAGCGTTACGCACTGGCACGATCTCGGCCAATAAAGCGTCAAAGGCGTTTGGTATACCTTCTAGTACGTTGTACAAAATTGCCAGGAGAGAAGGCATCAGGCTGGCAGCACCGTTCAATGCAAGTCCTACCACGTGGACACCTGCCGACCTCGATCGTGCTTTAGAAGCTATTAGATCCGGCCAGACGTCCGTACAAAGAGCGTCAACGGAATTTGGTATTCCCACAGGTACGCTATACGGAAGGTGCAAACGAGAAGGAATTGAGCTTAGCAGAAGCAATCCTACACCGTGGAGTGAAGATGCTATGACCGAAGCTCTCGAGGCCGTCAGGTAATAAAACGATTTATATCGTTATATAATAAACAGTTTTTTATTTTACTTAAAAAGTAATGAAAGTAATTTTTTCAAAATAATTTTACATTTGATTAAATATAGAAAGAATCGTGTTATGAATGCTGGATGTTGTGAATTCGCGATTGCAGATTAGGACACATGAGCATCAATCAAGCAGCAATCCACTACAATCTACCGTATTCGTCGCTATACGGACGTTTCAAGAGGGGCAAATACGAAGAGCCGGTCGTCAGTGAAATCTCACAGGATGGCAGCAGTCCGCATTTTCACCAGAGTCCCAGTCAGAATCACTCGTCCGCCCTTCCGGATCAAATGCCTTATCCGGGCAGCTGAAACTTACCTCTTTATTAGAGTATTAAGTTAGCTTAAGTTCCGAAGTTTCGATTCGTCGATGCTACTTACGCTGTTCGGACAGTTCTTCAACAGACACGCGCGGGAAGAATCCTAAGAGATTAGAGGCCGATCAAAGAGAACGCCATTATGAAAATATATATGAAAACACACTTATGGATCTATGATATATAATATAATATAAAGTATACAATATTTGTTGTACATTATAAATATTTGTATATGATATATTATATTATATATTTTATATATATATATATATATATATATATATATATATACATAAGAGAGAGAAGATTTACCCGCAGTATTAAAGGCGGATCGCCGTAAGTGAACATTATGTACATTGTATAATTTTTATGTCAAGACAAGAAACGTGCAAGTTACACTGTAATAATTTATAAGAGATATTTATAAAAAAAAAAACCAGCGCATTTATATGCGCTCTTGTACAGAGAAAACCTTAGGGATGCCACCCTTAAAAAAAAACTACTTTAAGCATATTAAGTCTCACCTAATGGGACAATGGGTGAAGATAGTTATTAGAATGAACTAAATTCTGTTGAAATCACACGCAAGAAATAAGTAACGCTGTTCATTTAGTTGTTTACATTGCACTCGATTCAATATAAAGTTTGTGAAGCAACGACTTTGTAAAAGCACCTTCAGCGATATGAGTTTGCAACATCTTTACAGATAAAACAATTGAAATGTATCACAATTCGCAGAAAAGAAATTTTAACCTGCGTTACCTACAAATTTATGATACGTAATAAAAGTGGTGTCCATTGTAATGGCGGAACTATAAAGCGATAAAGGATAAAATTTGATTGCAAATGTGATTTAAAGAAAAAAAAAAAAAAAAAAAAAAAAAAAAAAAAAAAAAAAAAACAATTTTAGTTTCTTGACTTTAGCACATTTCACGTGAAATTTGAAAATGCATTTTATTTACATATGCCACATGAGGTCATGTATTACGAGAGAACATCTTGAAAGTAACAAATGATTATTATTTACATTCAATAATCGTGTGTAAAACATATTTCGCAGGATAAACTTATAAAAAGTGGCGTCTTATTAATTTTTGTCTTTCTTTTATTTAATAAAAAAAAAACGAAAAAAAAACTTTAAAGACGAAAGAAATAGTAAATATTTACAAAGTAGAAAGAGAGAGAAGGCTTTTTATACTCCCCTTTCCCAAGTTTCGTAGAAGATTTAAGATTTTCCCCCGAGCTCAACTGCCACTCTATAAATATGTTACACACATTATTAATTTATCACGCTCACATTTAGTATATTACAATTACAAATATACATATACATATGCTACTTATAAATATATATATGTACAGTTTATATATTTTAAATTAAAAAGTAATGTCAAATCAAAAAAACGTGTAATTTTTATGAATCTTTGATATCCTTTTTTGTCATGAGAGAAGAATGTGATTTAATAAGTTTCTTATATGAATTTTGCATATCTTGCAATTTCAAAGATTGCGGCAAGAATCATGTTGAATGATTGAACGAAAAATGTCAGAAGCGTAAAAAAGATATAGGTCTAGAATTCGTGCAAAATTCACTTGCAATCGATAGAAGACAGTCACAAAATATTTCGACAAGCCTCTTTTTGTTTTCCACAAGTAATATACACATGTAATAGTATATACTATATATATATATTTATATCTACACAAAGTCGAAATATGATGTATTGAACAGTCTCAAATGATCACAACTGAGGTGTCGATTGGAACCACGAAATATCATTCTTACAACATTTCACATTTCAATCGCTGTCGGAATATTTTTTATAGTGCTTTATCTATTGAAAATTATTTATTCATAAAAAACTTATTTTCACATAAAACGCATTTTCTTAAACCACTCTAGATCACGACTGTACACGACTGTTAATTCAATCGTTCCTCGCGTAATATTCTTATGTGTATATTTTTCTCTTCCAGTAATAACTATATTTAATAAATTGTCAGCAAAATAGATTATAAGTCAGTTGTGCTATGAGATGATGATGGAATATTTTGTCCTACGAACAAAATATTTTCCTTGACGAACGTAGGAAAATCTCTTTGAGGAACCGATTTTGTTGATGAACGTAGATTCCCTGTTCGAAGCAAATATTTCCATCGCGTTCCGTTCGGATAGGACCATCTCGAAATACACTTATCCTTAAGCTTAGTTGAATATCCAGGAAATTTGGATGGCATGTACTTGCCGTTTTGAACGAATACCGGCCTTTCGAAATACCCGTGTAGTTGATCCACAAATTGTATTAATTGTTGGTCAGTAGTTTGACTTAAACAGATATAGTCCCATGTTTGAAGGTGTTGAATCATCTCACCTAAACCTGCTCCGTTACCGTATCCCCAGACTGGAGCTATAAATAGAAGTTTCTATTTCACATTTTGTCCAGCTAACAGCTTTTCTAAATTCACGTCAAAAAAAGTCTACAATCTCTTTAATATGTTTCTACATAAAAGGTACGATTGATTGGAAATATACTTTTTGTCTTCTCCGCCAGAAAATATACAGCTAAGGCTTCGTTAACACCAGCCATTCTTGTTACGTTCATGTGCCAAAAATCGGGTATCATCAGTCTGAGCAGTTGCATGGCTACGACGCAATTCGAGCACATTTCACCGACACATAATGAGATGCAGTGTTTGATCTGACTTTTCAAATAAAAACATTCCAGCACGTCGTCAGAAGATATCGCATTTTCTATACAAAAAGGTCGAAGTATTCCGTTTTGGTTTCGTTGTGTATATATACGCGAACTTATTGTTTTTACTATAGTGAACGCCATTGCCCGATTCGGTAGTGTTTCATTTATGTGCGCTATTAGTTTTCTATTTTTCCAGCCTATAACTTTCCTCGTTAAGATACAGGATTGCATATTCACCGCAGGCAGTCTCTCCTCGTCATTATCTATATCCACTTTGAATACGTTAAATCCGCTTTTTACGTAACGTTTGCAAAAATTGTAAACTTGCGAATACTGATAATCCGTCCATCCGTCTGCCACGTATGCGGGATATCCTGTTTTCTGTATCTCTTCCTCAAGTTTCTTTTTACGCGCCTCTCGTTTCCTGAGCATGTCTATTGCCTCTTCTTTAGTTACAGTGCGAGAACTGTGTGCATTTTGATAAAATTCTCGCGTGTGTATGAATATTATACTATAGAAACAAATAATCCTGGCTTTTTGGAGAAAAGAGAACTCAGAACACTTACATGTGTGTAAAGTCTATTGTGGATACGAGTTGCTCGGGTGTCATGTCCGTAAGAAGTTTCCATACGGGTTTACCTTCGATACGCGCCCATAGATCCCACAATGCGTTTACGATAACTGCTGTGGCTATGTGTCTCACATCACACTCCGGTCCTATCTATAAGAGAGAATGAATATAAAACAGACATAATTATATATGATGTCGCGAGATATTTTATGTTTGTTTTTTCTTGTTTATATTTGATGAAAGCGCGTTTCCCAATGTATTTTACTGAGAAAAATATATATGTTGTTTTTCTTTTTTTATCAAAATTATGATTCGAATTTTATTAATTTGTTTGCATATTCGCGATATGTTTTCTCGTTTACCGAATTTAATTCCTTGTCGGTCGTCAACATTTTCCAGAACGATGCAAAATCGCTGTAAATCTCCGCTACGTTCCGATCTTTTACGAGATTAAAAAGGAGCTTGCACGTTGCTGTTACTGCACAGAAAGTTGCACGTGAGTTTTGCATTGCATGTGTAGTAATGAATATTTTCTGTTTCTTGAGAAAGTGTTTTATACTTATATAGGTTATTATAATAATTAAAATTATATTTTTATCAATCCCACATAAATTCATATAATGTCCATTAGACGTTCATGCTTTTATGTGACGTCTACTAGAGGTTTTTATGTGAAATAATAGACTCTGTAAAGAACAGTGAGTATATTTGTTCAAGTGTGAGAAAATTTTATATACCAAGTTCAACTCCTTCTCCCAATTCACATGTGAGAGCATATCCTTTGTATTTTACGTTATCTGTTATGAGCGTTACGTATATGCAGATGTAGTTAGGATTTACACTCTGTTATTACAAATAAAAACAATATGAGATCGGATATATAAAATTATTATTTACTGATACTTATTATTATTGTTTCACACATTTTAATGCGCTTACCGATTTTTCATTACGCTTTACTTTTCTTCTTGGAAATCTTAAATCACGCACGTCGATATCTATGATTTTCGCGTCTGTTGTCATTTTTGTACAGTACACTTTATTATATATTAAATAAATGCTTTTTCTAGTAAATAATTATACACAAATTGAAAAGGCACAACACAATTAACGGAACAAGATCTGGAAATATTTTCAATTATAAATATAACAGAACACGTCATATTGTTTGACATAAATATTTGTGTTTGTAAACGTACTCGAAGAAGGTCAGAAATGCAATCCCGAGTTTTTCCGCCTAGTTTTAAATGCGTTCTTTGGATACGACACTTCGATATCTATAAGAGTATAAAATATCGTACCAATGACTTTTATCAAGATTTGTTACTGTGTGTCTCGCGACGATCAAATAAATTATTCGCATATTTTTCAGCACTTTTCGAACTCTTGATTTAACATCAAGAAACGCTGTTCTTTTTCGAACACACAATTCAACGGCTCCGATATTTACGTTATCCATCGTTAGATGGAGTTTACTCCACTGTGTGTGATGTCGCTGTGTCATTGTTTTGTTCAGATGCTTGGATTTTTGAAGTATTTTGTGATATGTATTACGGTTAGTTAGTAAAATAAAGTTTGATGGCTGAGCAAGAGGCAAATTGCATTTTCTGTAAGATTATTAGGAACGAAGCACCGGGTGAAAAAATTTACGAGGTAATGACAAGTTAACCACAAAGTAATTTTTGACATCTAGACGCGCACACACAAACGCGAGAGAAAGCTTGTCAAAAGAAATGTCAAACGTCAAACGAGTTTAAATTTTATTACATACATCTAATAAAAATTTTATTGTTTTAGGATAATGATGTTACATGTATTAAAGATATTAATCCTGTATCGACACATCATTATTTAATAATACCAAACAGACATATACGAAATGCAAAAGTACTTAAACCTGAAGATTCAGAACTTTGTAAGTATTTTACATATACAGGTTTGTGTACATTTTATTAGGATGTTATGCAAGATGTTCTATTTCTTTTCTTCTTCTCTTTCTCTTTCTCTAAGAAATGATATTTATTGAGTAAATGTCTTGGTTGTTTAACTGTGATTAATTTTTAGTTGATAAAATTATTGCTACGGTAGACATTATAACAGACAAATTGAGTCTTAATCCTGCATCTACACGAACAGGATTTCACTGGCCACCGTTTAATACAGTTCATCATTTACATTTACATGTTATTTCGCCAGTAGAAGAAATGAATATGATAAGAAAATTTATGTTTAGTCCTAATTCTTATTGGTTTGTGAGTGTAAGTATACATTGAAACACTGTTTCTTATGCAGATGTGACTGACTGATTTTAACCATTGCTTTGTCTTTTCTCTTACAGACAGACTATGTCAAATTACATATGGAAAAAAATTGTAAATGATACCAAACTAATATTAACTTTATACTTGTTTTATCTTCTTGTTTTTAATAACAAAAAGACAAAATTTTGTGCAATATTTATAAATAAGATATAAGTGAGTAAATTCTCTCTGTTCTTATCTTTCTCTTTCTTTCTGTTTTATATAAAATAATATTTGTTAAAACAAGATTTGCCAACAATTATTTATATTGTAAATTAAGTGCAATGGTGTATAATAATATTTACTGTTTTATATTTATATATATTAAAGATAACACAATGTATACATGTTTTACAATTCAATTAATGTCTCTTAACAAATTACATTTTAAATAGAACATTTTTATCTACAAAAGACATGCTATATTATTTATCTATGAAAATAACCATAACTCTTAATCTTTTAATATATTTCCTGTTTTATATTTCCCTCTTTCAGTGATAACCGCTACACCACGGAACCTTCGATATTTCCCTCTTTCAGTGTTTCTTTTGATCTTTCATTCATTATTATTTTGCATTTCTTTACTTATCGTAAACATGTATATTTTTTATTTAATTTCCTGTTTGCTCAATCTTTGTTTCCAGTAGTCACCATCTGGATAGATGTAATCTTTGATAGAATCATCTTTGAACTTGGTCGAATATCCTGCTTCTAAGGGCGGCATATAATAACCATTCTCAATTTTGACTGGATTTTCAAACTGTGAATGCTGTTGGTTCACGTATTCTATCATTCGCTCTTCTTGTGTTTGACTTAAACAGATGTAATCCCACATTTGGAGATGCTGGACCATCTCGCACAAACCTACTCCACCGGCATGCGGACACACGGGTACTGCGAAAAAATAAACATACACATCATTGTATCTTATTTTTCTCTGAAACTTATAAATTCTCCTTTGTGCTTTTTTGAAATATTCAGATATAAAAAAATATTAGGTACTACTGAGATTATATGTTGTGTAAAACTTACTATTTTTCACATATGCCATGAGGTATATAGCCAAGAGTTCATTAATTCCGCCAACTCTTGCAGCATCGATTTGGCAAACGTCTATTGCTTTAAATAGCATAAATTGCTTGAACATAACACGATTTGCGCACATCTCGCCGGTAGCTACTTTGATATTGATAGCGTGTAATTCTTGCCGAATTTCACCGTGTGCGAGAATGTCGTCGGGAGATGTAGGTTCTTCTATCCAATAAGGTTTGTACGGTTGTAGCTTTTTCATCCATTCTACCGCTTCACTCACATTCCACCACACTTGATTCGCATCTACCATCAATTTATTGCCGTAACCAATCGCACGACGCACTATTGAGCATCTTACGATATCGTTTTCGAGATTCTGACCGACTTTTATCTTGAACCCTGTGAAACCTTCGTGTAAATATTTTCTGCAGAGCTCTTCAACCTGTTCGTTGGTGTAGCCTAACCATGCGACGTCAGTCGTGTACGCGGGATATCCTCTTCTTTTTAGATCACTCTCTTTGTATTTTCTGTTTTCTCGATTTTGCTCAAGTATTATCTTCGCCTCTTCTGGGGTTATTAAATCCTCGCTGTTTATGATTGAATACGTATTGAAAAACTTTTATATAACATATATATATATAAAGAGAAAGAGAGAGAGAGAAAGAGAAATGTTTAAATATTAATTACATGTATCTGAAATCAATAACAGAAATCAGCTCATCGGGTGTCATGTCTGCAAGAAGTTTCCAAACTGGTTTATCTTCAATGCGCGCCCATAAATCCCACAATGCGTTTACAATAGCTGCGGTTGCTAAATGTATCACACCTTTTTCCGGTCCGATCTATCGGTATCGAAATTACGTGTAATTAACTCAGTAACTACCACATTATTATTATTTTTTAATTATGATTTTTTTACATTACCCATCTCAACTGCGAATCGCTTGTTAACTTTCTCCAAAATGAGGCAAAGTTATAGTAAATTTCCGTTGTTGTTAGACCTTTTACGAATGTAAATAAAGATTTACATGCTAGTGCCACTAAAGTAAAAATAATTATTAATGGTATGTGTCTTTCTGAATTTTGTTATTCATTTTGTTATTCACGTACCAATTTCTGTTCCTCTTCCTAAAGTAAATGTGAGGCCATATCCTTTAAACCCTTGGTCTGTTGTAATTGTTACGTATGCGCAAGAGTAATCTGGATCAGTATGCTATAAAATTAAATGCTATAAGAAAAAAACTACGTGATCTAAAGTAGGTAGTTTTAAAATATACATTACTATATGAAGAAACTTATAATAATTTAATATTTATTCACTTTCGATCGATCTCTTTTCCAAATTCAAACTACGTACCATTGCATCGCTTCCATCCTTGTTTTCAGATGTCGGAAATCTTATATCTTGCACATTTATATCGACTATTGTCGCGACTATCATTTTCCTCAAATTGCGATAGTATCCAAGTTCTCGCAATGACGACAGAATAATAGCGCGATGCCGACTGAACAGATTGTGTGTGGATCGTTCAAGTGAGATATGTATGTATTTATAAACTTTTCTTATCTTAAACGTAAATATTTGTTTCACTTAAATGTGGTATCACATGTTCATATGATATGAGCGCACAAGTCTTATCGTACAAGACGTAATTACAAATAGTTACGTAAAGAATGATCTGTACGATATTTCGTTATCGTACAAAATAAAGTTAAATGCATACATATAATTGCATATATACATAATATTTCAAAATTAAAACGTATTTATATTGTTTTAAGAAAACAATATATTAAAAAGAATCATCTTTCATCGCATGTTTGCAATTTGATTATATTTGAAAAATTAAGTACCATTTTCTCTTTTTTATCTTATTGATTTTTTTTTCTTCTCTGCGATTAGTTTACATTTTTCTGTGAAAAATGTTATTATAATTTACTTTTGTGTGCTTATTAATCAATATAGCATTTTAGTAACCAACGTGGGATTTTGGAACGTACCCCGGTTAGAGTGTGCATGACCACGTGTGTGGATTAAATGGCGTATACTAACCTTACTTGGTCCACTGATCCATCTTTGCGCCATTACGTGTGTGGATGATTATTTTTACTAATGAGTATTCTGTATTTTTAATAGACGAAACAAAATGTTCGAAATCATAGTAGGAACATATGAGCAATACTTACTCGGCTACAAAGTGCAGGATACTGAAAATGTAAATATACTTCAAATAGTTTATTTTTAATCTAAATGTTGTATAGGTTATGTATAGTTGCATTGTTGTTAATCAACTTGTAATGTTCTACAATATATGAACATTTACATAGTAACTAAAAATAAATATAAAAAAGTAAAATAAGATATATTTTTTAGTGTTTTTCTTAAATATATACATATACACATGAAAAGTATACTGTTAATAAACATTTCATTTTTTAATCAAGATAATATGTTGAAATTTGTTTAAATCTGAAGTATTTTTTATTTTTAGGAGTATCAAATGAAAAAAAGTTTTATAACTCACAGCCATATGGGAAGCATACGTGCTGTTGCTACTCATAAATATTACCTAGCTTCTGCTAGCGCAGACGAAACGATATGCGTATATGACTTGCGTTACAGGAGAGAAACGGGCAAGTTGATGCATCATCAAGGTACATAGATAAGAACTGATAAAAATGTATTTAAAATAATTTATCTTATTTTAAAAAAAGTAAAAAATATTTTTTAATGTTATACATTTTAAAATAAAATGTTTTTATGTATTTTTTGCAGGTACTGTCAATTATCTCGCTTTCACTTCAGAAGGTTCACATTTGTTCACGTGTAGTAGTGACGGAAGTATATCAGCAGTTCATTGCGGAAATTGGCAAATTGAAAAACATTGGTTGAAAGCGCACAAGGGCTGTACTGTACATAGCCTTGCAATTCATCACTCAGGAAAATTAGCATTATCGACGGGAGAAGATGGCGTGCTTAGAACATGGAATCTGATTAAAGGCCGGCCAGCTTACGCCACCAACTTAGTGCCAAAATTGAAGCTGGATGCGAAGTGGATAACAATCGTAAAGTGGAGTCCCGATGGAGACAAATATCTGCTGGCTGTTAATCGCAATATATATGTGTATTCTGTGGAAACGGCTAGTATTGAAAAGGAGTTTACATTTAACTCGAAGGTTATTTGCGTAGAATTTTTAAGTAACACATTAATTGCGATTGGTCACGAGAACGGCGAAATTACGTTCTATAATCTCGAACTCGTGGATCCTCATGTAATAAATATAAAGGCGCACGATATGAGAGTAAAGTGTATTGCGCACATGTCTGATCTGTTAGTCAGCGCTTCCAGTTCAGGCGAGATCAAACTTTGGAGGTATAACATTTCTAGCATGAAATTGCTGCAAACTGTTAATTGTGGCGCAAGAATTACGTGCCTTTCTTTAGCTAGCATTTTTAAACAAGAGAAATATGAAGAAAATTTAGTGGAAGTAAAAGATGAAGAAAAAGATCTAACGGAAGAAGAGGAAGAGAGCGATTTAACTTTAAAAGAAGTAGTAGAAGTGATAGACGAAGGGGAGAATTTAACAGAAAAAAAGAAAACAGATGAGAAGAAAAATTTCAAAGTTAAGTCAAAAAATAATAAAAAGGTGAAGACATTGCAAATCTCAGATAAAGAAAAAGATTCAGTAGAACAAATAGTAGAAGTGACAGACGAAAATGAAAGTTTAACAGAAGAAAAAGATAAACAAGAAAATTTTAAAACTAAGTCAAAAAAGAATAAGAAAGTGAAGACATCGCAAATCCCCTCCAAAAACCATCAAAACCGAGACGTAAAGAAAAGAAAATTAATGAAAGAGGAAATTGTTCAAATTTCGAAGAAGAAAAAGAAGAAAACGATAGATTAGGATTCAATTGCAATAGGACTTTATAAAAGTTATTATTCTATTCCTTCGTGCGTGTGATATTTACATGATAAGCTTACACCTAGGAGTAACGACTAAAGTATGTAATAAATTACACGCTAAATTTCTATAATTGTGTATAAATCAGTCTATTTACAAATTAAAATTATCACTGCACCAACGTGTCTCCGTACTCCCGTGTCAAAGACCAAGAGATAACACAATTCTGTTAACAAGCCACGTTATGCGCCGCTCGAAATAACGCGTAAAAAAATCTACCACAAAATGCATTTGTGCGGTGGGTTCATCGGACTGCCGAGCGGGCACTTCCAAGCCTTCGCAAATTCCGCGTTATTCGACAACGTGCCGATCACTCGAAAGTGATTTGGCGCATGAACACCCTCTATTATCTTGGACTTGAGCGCTCCGTTCGTGTAATTGCCACACCAAACCTGAAAAAAGATTAATTGTTATCTTTTATCTTGTGATTTCACCCGCCGGTAAGAAATTTTAATCTTACGGACTATTTCTATAAATTTTTATTTTATAGAAATTAACTTATTGTTTATATTTTTTCTCTGAAATTTGGCAGTTTTTAAGTATGTTACAAAATTCTATTCAAACAGAACACACTTTATATCAGCTTCGCTTTCACAATTTCCAACAATCAATAAAATATAAATAACATATTTGCTGTTGCACAGTATGTTTGTTTTTACCTGAGCGAAACCTAGATAGAATAACTGCTCGTTACTGTAGTCGACGAGACCGGGCAGAGCTTGTTGATACGGATTGCGCGCGATCAGCCTCTGATACGCCCGGTAAGCTTCTCTGATGCCGCCGTTGTCGGCGATATTTTCACCCTGAGTATTGATGCCGTTCACCTAGAACAAGTCAAAAATTGCCGAACGATTAAACGCGCGCGAGCGAACGACACCCTTGGCACGCTTTTTCGACGTTTTCAACGATGCTCACCGTGAAATTATCACCCAACTGCGGTAAATGATAACTGCTGTACTGCTCGATCATACACTGCACTTTCTCATGATAGTGTTGTAACGTCTCGTCGCTCCACCATTGTCGCAGATTGCCGTTCTCGTCGTACCTTCGACCTGGCACAGAAATTCACGTGTAATTCTAGATATTATTATATAAATATATGCGGATACGTTTTTTTTAGTGTCAAAGATTGTAAAGACAAATAGCTGGTTCTCTTAACAACGTGGAGTGGACAATGCTCATCGCATCGCCGATTTACGCACCTTGGTCATCGAAACCGTGCGTAAGCTCGTGACCCATAATAGCTCCCATAGCGCCGTAATTGATAGACCTGTAATGCGCGGCGTCAGAGTTCGGTTATAATCACATTAAGGTCAGAAATATTGTTTTATTGTCATGAACTCACATTTACGTTCGACTCTAAAATTTTTCGAAGTATAACTATAAATATTGTGTCGAACGATTATAACGCGAGTTCATGAGACTTAGTTTTTATTTGTATAAAAATAATACAAAAATACGTACTCCAATCCATTGCCGTAAAAAGGCGGATGTAGAATGCCAGCCGGAAAAGCTAAGATCATAGATTTTCATTTAAATCGGTGTTGATGATCAATGACGAATAAACAAGCTTTTATAAGAATTGATTTACACTTACTGACTGAATTCAATATAGCGCTGTAAAACGCGTTTACTGTTGTGCCCGTCGATATCCATCTGCTCCTGTCGGGTTTCTCGCGCAGATTGTTCAGACTCTTCTTCATCGCCACGTCAGTCAGTTTCAGGAAAGTCGCGAATAATTTTCCGTCAATCACCTCTACCTGTGAATAAAATCGGATATTTTGAAATTTAATAATTTAACGAAATAATATCTACGTGTAAAAAAAAAAAAACAACTCACTCCTTCGTAAAACTTGTTCAACTCGGTCCGATTCGTGATCCAGTCGGGAAATCCTACGAACGGTCTCATCGCGTGCAGTTTTCTATGGGCTCGAATTCTCGTGTCGACGTCCATCCAATCCAACTCGGTAACCATCTCGTCGAATGCCGCTCTAATATCCAATAACATCTCCAATGCCTAAAAAAAAGGAACGCGAGAATCGATATATTTATTAATATTAATTTTTAATATTAATTAACGCGCGATTTTATACACGTATGTTGCGCAAACCTTTTCTCGCGCCTGCTCGTTGAAGTGTCTTTGCGCATAAATGTAACTGAGCGCCATGCCGAAGTTCGCGTTGGCGTTTCCGGTGCATCCCTTCCAGCGGGGAGTTTTCTCTTTCAATCCGAATACTTTTTGCGAGAACTGGAAACCGAGATCGCGGAACTTTTGCAGTGTCAGTGGGGCAACGGTCGAGTACGCGCTCCACCAAACGTATCGAACTGAAAAATTTCGCTTGGCATTATCGTCATTGAAGAAAAGAGCGCCGATAGCTTTCGACCTCAACGACCTCATTTTCAATTCGATCTTTTCTCTCTTTATCTGTTATGCTTCATTTATCATAGTTGGTTGATGTTCTATGTGTTGTTCTTTTAATCTTCACAAGATACAAGAGAACTTGCTCTTATCTCACAATTAAATTTCACACTATACACACAATATCTAAACCTCTAACAATTTGTTTTTTTTTGTTTTATATATAAATAGTGGAAATAAAAAAACGCCGAGAAGTTTCTTAAAACGAGATATTTTTTCCACATGCAATATTTTCTCTTCTCTCAAATGCAAACGGACATAATAGAAGCAGAAGCAATGAGGTGCGATATATAAATCCGAGTGAGTGAACGCATACATCAAGTCGAGTGGCAATCGCGCTCGACTTGACGAGGGTGCGAAAATTAGACGTACCTATTGTGGCGGGTGGTGTGACGGAAAGCAGTAACGGTAATTTCTGCAAATACTGCAGGTCTATCACGATAACTCGATCTACTTTCGGATTTATCGTGATATTTGTATTCTCGAACACAGCTTCTAGATATTTTGTCCAGTTCCACTAAAACAGCATTTTTCGTATTTTTAACATAATTTCTCATCTCGGTTTAACGAACGTAAAACGTTCGTTTTTACAAATTTTCCATTAATATTTTTAATATGTGTTTCATTTATAAGTTGCGTGAAATATAAAAATGTTTTAAATATCACCTGCTGCGCGTGCAGATCAGTGAACAGTTGCAGGTCGTCAATCGTCACATCGTGAAGGAGATGATCCGAGCTGCGTCGTTCCTCGGGCGTCGCCATGATCTGGACGGATTTCAAAAGAATTAAACGTGCTCCTGAAACGATTATCCTCACATTGGAAGTTAAGTAATCGAAGATAAAGAAAAATATTTGATTATATTCACTCGCTTTGTTGCAACTGCTAAAAATTTGTTTTTATTGTTGCCTGAGTGTTTGCGCAGTTTAACGCGATAAAAATTATCGCGCGGGCACATTCCCTTTTCGACATAAAAAAAAATAAAAATTCACACAACGCGTAAGATGTTTTCATCGCGAGATACTCACTTTGGCAATTTTGGTTGTGAAGTCCAAAATCTCGTTAGCGTAATTTGCGCTCATATTACCAGCTCCCGCTAATTCGACCATGGACTTTATGTACTTTTTGTATTCCGTGAGTTCTGAGTGAAACCGCCTTGGGTCCAGTAAGTAACGTTCGCTAAATCCGGGAGACACTTGCTCCATCTGAAATAATTTAAATTTTTTTTTCTTACACCAGATTTTGCTATTGAGCAATTTGACTGTTCTTTAAATTGTTTTGTTACACTTTGCAACATTTTTCAAAGACACGTAGTTTTTTCTCACCATCATTCGATTTCTCGTAGTGTCCTTAACGTCCTCGCTGATGTAAAAATTGATGAGAAGATTCAACCCCAGCATTCTCTGCGCTTTTCCCGCCAGCCTTGATATGTCAATGGAGGGCGTTTTGCTCTGCATCGGAGGTTCCTTCGGCAAACCCAGTTTCTCAAGCACCTCGAAGATAGGCTCCAGTCCGAGGGCCTCGACGCTCGCTGCAATTCGACGATATTCCATAATTTCCGTCATAATCACATCATCAAGCCTGTGTGTTTAACGTTAACAAACATTGTCGCGACGGCGTTCAAATTGCGCATATAACGCGCGACGTGCAAATTGCGCTTTCAGTTACCAAGAGAGACTTAATGCGATTGCCGTGTTTCCATTCGAATCATTAGCATTCGATTTTCTCGATTTACAATAGATATGTATAACTCGTGAGGAATTGTACGAGAGTTCCGGGTACTTCTCCGAGATGCGATGATAGAATCGTCAGTTTGTCTTCTTCGTGTTGTTGCCAATAATGTGACGTAGCCAATAATGGCACATCGTAATTGCGAGAGAACGGCGATGTATTATTAAATTAATTTATCCTTTTGCGAATTTACACTTACGTAAATGCCATTCCGCGCATTCCATCTCCTTGTACAAAAGAGCGCACAACTGATGAATAATTTATTTTTTTTTTGTCAACATAGGCAAATCACCTGACGGTTTTATTGAACAGCTAAGTAGAAAATCTTGTTCTTCGCAGAGATTGTTTTTCGAAATTACGCTTATCATTTATATATTTATTAGTTTTTAATAATTTATAATATTTATTTATTGTTTAAAGTTTTCGTAAATTTTTCCCTTGTCTATAAAAAATTTTGAATAATATAGATCCGCGATAATTATGCAATGTTTCTAATTTTATCCGCATTAAAATTAACAAAGTCGGTGTTCAAATATACATTTGACACTTCTCGGAACTTACCGACGTCCATGCAGGTCTTATAGAGAGTTCTCGCCATCTTTACTGGTTCGAGATCGGTTTCAACATCCGGTTCCTCCAGCAAGAGTCTCAGATCCTGCAGAAGCTCCTCTCTCAGCAAGCTTAGCTGATCCCAGAAACTCTGACTCTGCGGAATCGGATGCTTGCTAATCCAACCACCGCATGCGAAGTTGTAGAAGTCCTCGCAAGGATTCACAGATCTATTCATTGCGCCTATCACTCGCGCCGCTGTGAGAACGCAAACGGATTATTCTCCCGAGTCCTTTGTTATATTTTAGAAGTTATCAAGCGGGGAAACAAAAATTGTTAATATTATTATAATAGATAAGTCAGAAGAAATATTATACAAATATTTTTTAATTTATAACGCAAAGTTTATTGCATGTAAATTTTTTTACGATGGACTTATCTATATTTATTTATTTATAATATTATTATACCTGTTTTGATGCATTCCTCGCTCTGACACATTTCCTTGTATTCTTCCCCACGAAAGTTCGCCATTTGCAAGGTCAGTGCTACGATGAGAGCGATGACAGTCACCGCTAACAGTCCGACGACAATAACGAGCTTCATCTCCTTGCCGCTCGATTTCATCTCGTCTCTCTGATTGTAATTCCTGCCAAAGACGAAGCACAAGATCTCGATAACGAATGAAATTTGCGCACATATAATTTTGGAAAGATCTTGTATTTAGCCAAAATATAATAATTACCACGAGGCATCTGAGGTTCCTTTTGCATTCTCTCCTGCGTCTCTCTCATTATCCTCCGGATCATTTACCTGCAAATGAAAAACGACATATTTCGGAACGGTTGTGTGATTTTTTCCTTACTTTTTTTTTTATCTTACTATAGTTAAAACAGAATTCTCACAACACAAGCGCGAAGAGTGCTATATTATAACAGCGTAAATAACCCCCGAAGTGACAAGAGGGTTAGTGCACTGTGAAAAGAGAGAGAGTTACTTCGATTTCGAGAAAGAAAAAGCACTGTATCTTACGACTTGACTTCTGCGCTCCAAGAGACTCGCCGAGATCAAAGTGTATCCGCGTCAGATGTATCTTATAAAACATCGTCAGGGACTTTAGTGCGATTGAATTTATATGGTAAGAATTAATTCACTAAAAACGATTAGGGATTAAAAATAGTGCGGTTTTTTTTCTTTTTTCAATCAAACTCTAAATGAGAAAAATAAAATAATTCAAAGAAAATATAAATTTTTTGTATTGTATACATATTTTTGTTTGCTACTTGTTGAAATGAGAAGCAATTCAATTCTGACAACGGTGCACTAAGCGGCGTCACAAAGACAAAACGGAGAAGTTTTTTTCTTTGTTCCTTTGAAAATCTAACAGAACCGACTGTTAGATTTTCTCAAGTCGTTAAAGTAACGCAAACAAATGTGGATATACTTGGGAGCGTGCAAACCAAGTTGTGAGTGTTGATAAATCCGCTCCAACCAACGTATGTGTACCGTGCAACGTACACACACATGAGTGCGTGTCGTTTACGCTTCGATCGATGTTGCGCGCAGCTCCGCATCTGATCGGTGCAGATCTTACGTAAGCTCGCGTGTTCGCTTTTCATTCGTTTTTCGCGTCATTGACGCGAATATATATTGTGTATAACGGCGGTTTCACACAGTGGGACTTTTAACGGGGCAGGAATTTAATCGTTCGCCAACGGGACAGGATATTGGACCACGAGGAGAATAATGTCGTGAGAGTAACGCCGAGCAATTCTGGAGCAAGGTGAGGGGTATCGATATGGTGCGGCTTGACGCGTGACGATGATTTTGCTGGTCGATTTAAGGTCGCGCGGAAACGATCGCTTCTTCCCGTGATTGCGACCCGGGATAGAAACAGGTCGAAGAGAACAATTTCGCGGAACTCGGCATTGTCCTTCCGTAATTCTGTCGGACAGTTGTATAGAACAATTCAGATGTTCCGCAAGCCGGGAGCTTTGTCCGGAAATAATCATTTGATCGCAACGTTCGCAAGACCTGACTCAGCCAAGTGGATTAAATAATTTTCATACATATTCAGAGAGTCCAGCGTTTCACGTTTCTTCAGATTATTAATAAATATGAATATAAATTAATTAGGACAGACAAAAAATAAGAATGCAAACTACCTTTCAATCTCCAAGTCATTATCTGCTTAAATTAATATTAATTACGGCCAAGTAAATGAGGTTTCTCGAGTAACGTGCGTTTATTGTCTTGGACTTTAGTCTGTCAGAGACGTGGAATGCTCAATTGAAATTAATGAATGAAAAAATTGACACAATTAACGCTGACAGTTTTATATACTTTCTACTCTCTTCTAATTTCACATCGAAATTTTTTTCGAACAATGACGCGCGATCATTACGCGCAGCTGTGATGTAATTGTGAAGTTCAAGTTTACCGCTGCTTCTCTCGTTTCGCAAATGTTTGAAAACTCGCAAGACTCCAATCGCGATCGCGCCAACATTTAATTAAAGCAATTACTCCTCAATCATTTTTTAATCTTTTTTCCACTTACGTAACTTTTATTTTTTCAATCGCGACAGGAACAATTTAAGATAAACGTGATTAATTGTGACGTTGATGAAATCGTCGTTTTCGAAAAGTTAAACTTTGCGAGTTAAACAGACGGGAATACGATTTTCTCTTCGCGTGCAAATCGGATGCATCGGCACGCGTTGTACAGACAATGTTCCCATTATGCGCGCTTCGACCCAACCGAATTGACAGACCTCGCTCGAGAAATACTCGAGAATACGTCGCCGCTTTTTTTTCCTGTCTCTTCTCTTGCCCTCTTCTTCCCTATCAGTCTATCACGTGCAAACCATACGAACTTGCGCAAGCAAGTTTATTTGCTTTTCTAGTTCCCGCCACTGCGGATCACAAAGTAGTTATCTACTGTTGCGTTAATTCTAACTATTTTCTTCGTGCTATGTTTGTACGTTTTTCTCTCCACTCTTTTTCTCTTTAAGTTTTCCGAGAGAGCAAAAATCTCGAAGAAGGAAAATCCCATTTTTGTCTTCTCGGCGATTATAATTGCTGTCAGTTGTAATGAATATCTATCTACTGACTCGGTATAATCGATTAACAGAAAATCGATGATAAAATACTTCTTTGTTATTATATTTCGACGCAACGTTAAGAGTTTCTCTTCCAAGGAAGCGACTGTAATCAAAATCTGCGAAAAAATTTAAATCGCAGTACGTCTAATAATTCTCTTTTTCTTACTCGTCGGCAAAGTCTCGAAGGTGATGATTAAAAGTCATAAAACCTATTCTACTCTTTTAATAATTAATCTCCGCGTGCACGCAAATCATCTTCGTGTGAAATTGCACGGTAGCGAAAAAAAACTGTCGCGAAAACTCGCAGAAGGATGTTACGAAAAATGACAATCATTCCGGATTGTTGCATTAATAACCGAGGAGGTGTTTTTTTTTTTTTTTCGAGGTAAATACCATTGACAAGCGGTCACAGAGTCGGCAATTGTCGTCGACCTCACCATTCGTTTCCGATCGCGCGCGTCGTCCTTGCGGACTGGTAATTGTCATCCAGCCGACGTCGCTTCCGATATCCAGCGCCGTTGTCCTTGCGCGCCGTAAAGATTTCACCGTTTTACCAGCAAGTATCAAAGGCCGATTATAAGTCGCGACTTACGCTAACTCTGCGATCAACAACAATGGAATCGGGAAGTGCTAGTCGAAACGGATCACGTACACATGTAACAAAGAGCTTATCGCCAACGCGAGACTTGTTGTTAAGTGAATTATATGAATGATAAGAATGACGAGAAACCTGACTTGGTGCGTATTGAGAACAGATGTCATCGCCTAGTACATATCTCGACAAGTTGAATCGCGATCTCAGCAGCTCCCCTACCAGTGTTTTTGTCCGGTCTCAGAAAACATATCGGGTGTAATTAATTCCTCGCGTCAAACTGGTCGATTCTTCCGCGAGGCCTCACGAGGCGGCGAAGCGCGTGATTAATAAATAATCAGAATCTCCGTTTGTGGTGTGTGCGTAATTTCAATTCTCTTCCTGTTTAACGAAAAACTATGAAAAGCGTTTGATCGATGAGCGCGGTTATTTTTTCTATTCCGACGAAGATTCCGAAATTTAGATCAATGGCTAAGAAACTTACGCATGTGTGTTCGTTTCTCTCTACACTTGAAAAAACAAGTTTCTGCGAGTTTGTTTGATGTAATCTGCGAACGAGAACTAAAACCGAACGGGCAAGCAAACACGCGCGTTACATTTTTTAATATTAATTAAACGATTTATCTGCAGGTTACATACGGATGTGTAAAACAAAAAAAAGAAGTATCAATCATCGTCACGTGAATGTAATAACAATGAATATTTCTCTCTCGCGCAACAATAAATTGCCACTTATATGTATTTATCTTTCACGATGATGATCTATTCTCTGCTGTAAAAACACAAGCCTTGATCGGTCTAACAACTTTCGACGTAATCGCGTAATTTTTCGACGGGTTTCACGTAATTGCTTAATATAATAATACGCGATAGCCTATCAATTCACCAACCAAGATTGCCGACCAAGTGTTTTACACGTATTTCTGCCGAGTTCGTCCGGAATTTCTCGAGATAAATCGGCATTTTCAAATTATGTGACAACCGCCTTATTTTTTCGTACATATTAATTTAATCGACCTATAGAACGTCATTCAATTGATTGTCGATTCCGATTAACCGCACGTTGACGTGAGTTAAAACGTCGAATATCGACGCACGCGTGGCAACGCGCATTGTACGTATCGTGAAGTATATTTATTTATCATCACGTCTTTTCAGCACGTCACGTACGAGACGAATCTGAATCGTTATCGGTGTCATTGACTCCGATCGTAACGCGGCACGTGAATAATATTCCTATCGTTCAATCTGCTCGTACATGCTGCACGCGCTTCCGACGTATCTCGACGAAATCGGCATATCTAATATTTGCCGCGTGTTCCAAATACGTACATACATGTATCGCGTTGGAAAAGGAACGAGTCTTCAATGAGACTGTAATGTCACGACTTTCCACATTTTCAGATTAAAAATGACGCACCGTCGCAGATACTTTCTGTTTCACAAAACTCGTTACAATGCAATTGAGATTTTTTTTTGCAGCCGGAAAAGGATTTTTCCAATTAAAATACAATAGAAATTTTTTTGCAGCCGGAAAAGGATTTTTCCATTAGGCGTGTTTCTTATTAAAACTATCGTTTTGGAGATAAAAATATCTACGGACGTATAAAAGAAACCATTGATGTATACCGCGCGTATCACGTGCAAGTTACCGATGACCTTCGCTGTTGTGAATATAATTGCATTGTTGCGGAAATATAATCCTAATGTTAATTATTCCGTCGGCTTGCGCGCAGCTGTGTAACTTGATTAGCACGTACACCTTTATACTCGTTTTAACGATACCCAATGAATTAATTAAAGTCTCTCGAAGATCTTGTTACGGATAAAATAGATGTGTGTACGCACATTGCGTGATATTTAATTGTGTGTTTTCACAAATGTATGTAATTTGTGTCGCTTCCAAAATAAACAGCTTAACTTAGAAATTTGGCCGCGTGTCACCGCGCTCTCTGTGTCGTCTGAGAAATTTTCTCTGTCTGAAAGACTCGGATTACGTTCTTCTCACGAGACCGGTTCATTATACTCGTTTACATATTCGCAGTCCGTTCTTCAGAGAAGGAGACAGATACTTGATGTATTTTTGTTAGAGCGTTTGTTCGTATGAAAAAAAAAAAAAAAAAAAAAAGAAGAACATTGAAGCGACCAACATGTCGCTTGTGCACGTTCGCTTATTTTATTCCGATACGTTTCCTCGTCGAGAGAAGTATACGCAGACATATTTTTTTATATACGCTCGCGTCGGAAACTGTTATCGGAAATTTCGATGATGTATTTTAGGACATGTTTATCATAGATAAAAAAGTGACACACGTATTTTTATACTTGTTATCTGAAGATAAGTAGAAATTTGGAGAACGTAATGTGACTCTTCCTCTCATCTATAAATTTAATATGTAATCAATCGTTCAAATATATGTAATACTTTTTGAGCGCGGTTTTATTTTTCTCGGAGAAATTAGTTAATTAAATATTCAAGAAAAGTAAGAGAAACCTCAGTAAAATATTTAAGAAAAGGTGTATAATTCGCAAAAAGTTATAATCCGCGTTAGTCGTTTTTATTCGACAGATAATGGCGAATCTAACGAGCGGTAAAATTACTTTTCAACGATTACCACAAAATGTAGGTTGGCGGAAGGTTGTCCGCAGGCTGCCTTCAAAAGTGACTAACTCAGTCACTCACTAACTCAGTCTATATACAGACTCATCGTGCATCGTGTCCTGCTGTTTTCGCGCTTCACAAGTGGAACGGCTCAATGTGCCATTGAGAAGATCCTATTTCGACGACACGGTACGTGGGGAGTCGTAAGTGTCGCCGAGCTGCTGCTTGAAACCCATCATCGCGCCTATTACTTTATAATGCAATTACAGTACCGAGGGTGGTCACTGACTTCAAACTTCAGCAGTCCAGGCGGTCTCTCTTCGCAACACCATCATTGCACGCTCCCCGTCTCTTTTACCGCGCGCAGGCTTTTGTGTTGTTCGTCAAAATTATACCCATGAAAATTTCACACCTCGTGACAGACAGATTGTTCAAACAGACGGGTTAAAGATAAGTGAAGAAAGTTCGATTCTGCAAATCTTTCACTTTCACTCAACAACTCTTCAACCTGATTTCGCGGCTTTAGTCGAATTGATTTGCGAATTCTGCATCTTCTATACACGTCATCGAGTTTTATTTTTGCTGAACTGTTTATTTGCGCGAACGAGAATCATTTATTTTTATGCATCGATACGCTGACGATTGATACGTGCCGATAATGCTAATACTGCTCTGCAATCAAAGACGATTGTGCTGCTCGCGAATTACTTCCGGACTCGCGGACTACTACGAATTCGTTTCAAGTGCTCTCCTTGCCATTGACTCGAATATCTCGTGCGATTCTCTCAGCTCGCCGCCTTGACCGCGAATCTACGTACACGCTCTACTTCTTTTGCCCGGGATTTTGATCGAAGGAACAATCGGTTCTGCTGATACGATCTCGACGAAGCGCGGAGTCGATACGCGACCCATAGCATAGATAGCGGGAAAGGCGATTAAACAGAGAGAGAGAAAGAGAGAGAGAGGAAGAAACGGTGCGCGAACATCCTACTTTGAAGGAAAGTAGATAAGATTGTCTCAATCATTTACCAAACGTTGCGTTTTAAAACTTAGAACAACGAAGAGATTTCGCAGCCGAGTCTTAAATTTTGTAGTTTGCACTTTTTTCTGACTCTAACTTGAAGAAAGTATCAAACTGAAGTGTTTAATTTAAAAACCAAAAGAAAATACGCGAACTACGAAGTTGCGCTACAAAAGGAAAAGATCGATATTGCCCATGAATGGCACCACTTTATCTGCCTCGAGCAGCACAAATAGAATGTGATATATATCCGATGTTAGAAACTGGTCTTATTTTAATTATCCTTCACCTGCACGCGATTGACCTCTTTTCCCACCGAGTAAAAACAAAAAAAAAAAAAAAAAAAAAAGAAAAATAGAAAACTAGAATTGGTTTCAGATGTTCGACTGTTTGCAGTTTCTAACGAAGTAGTCGAACACGGTAGCTACTTTTCCCTTCCTAATTGAATTTAATTGAAGGGAACAACGGTTGTGATCGATTCGTCGTGCAAGTCGTAAATTTATGACCGCGCGGGCAAACTTTTATTTTAATTATTTCGTACGTAATTATTATTATTTCATAATTATTATCATTTGTTACACGCAATACGATTTAAATTCTTGAAATCTCAGATTAATCAAAAATCTGTTAAAAATGAATAAAAAATTTATTCGAGCACGCACAAAAACTTGTTACACATTGAAAAATCACGTGTAATTAAAATGTTCTTTGTTTCTTCTCGAATTTTATATATTTCCCGCGACTTTAGGAAACGTGTCGTCGCATAAAGACTTCGCTTCGTTTGATCTTCTGTTCTCGTTAACATTCGATATATTATCATCATCGTGAAATAGACTGCACTTATGTGAGCGGAACAGATCGCCTCACCTTACGCATCGCGTATAATGACAACTCAAGGCAGTGGGTGCGTTGTATCGGCTTATGTTTTATGCAGATCCCCGCGCGTGTGGCGCGAAACACCGCTACGCATCGATACTTATTGTATATTGATTTAGATCAATTCCGCGACAACACAAAATCCCTTGTGTCAAACTTTCGAGGTTTATTTACACTTTATCTCAAAAATATTCTTGTCAAAAGCAAAGCGAATTTATTTGCATTCAATGAACCGACTTTTAACGCCCGACGACGAAGGTAAACACTTGGAGGTAAAGATTCGACGCCGATAAGAGCGCAAGCGGGATAATCCTTTAAAGTACATTCATCAATTAGAATTAATTTAAATAAATCATTTCCAATTGTGCGACGTTGACTTCCTGAACATACACACGAGATGAATGTGAAATGAGACTGTTGCACAAACGTGTGGGATTTGCATTAAATTTCAAGAGCGTAAACTGTACGATTTGGAGACGATTTTATCTTGATATGCGTGCAACAAGTTACTGCGCACTACCCTCCTCCTTGTCTCAATTTGTTTATCTCAATATACAGTTCAATTTATTCTCGTGCGCGTTAGTGATTAAAATTTCCTCGGACAAAGCTCGTGTTAACATAATTTCTCGAATCAGTAAAACGTGTTATGTTTGATTGTCAGAAGAGTTTTGATTTTATTTTTAACTTCGTTAAAGAGCAAAAGAGAGAAAATGTGACAAAAAAAAACAGAGTGGTGTTTACACAGATATATTGTAAGGCAAATGCATGCCACGTAAAATATACAAGTAGCTGAAGAGCACTTGTAATCTAAAAAAACTTTTAATGTGCAATATATCGTTGTAATATCAAAGATCTTAATTATTTCATACGTAGAGGCAACATATATGTAAAACTTATTTTATCCATGCGCATAATTATATTTTACGACGATGTCTCGCAAAAGGAAGAGTCACGACTCGAAAAAAGTATCGATTAAAAACATGCTGTATTTTAATGAGAAAGACAGACAGACAGAGAGTTTCCTCGTACAATGACACTTCGATTCTAATTTATTCCCGTTTCTATCGATATGTTTCATCAACGAATGATAGACACGGACTTAACGAAACGCGGTATGCACGTCTCACCTTGTATCTCATCTTCGCCGTCTCCTTCGCCGTCTCGTCCTTCTCCTGATGTAGCCTCTTTCAGCCGGCGGGTCTCTGCAAAAGGACGAGATGAATTATTATCAAAAATGTCCCTGGTGAGTCTCGATACAAACGATGCGACGGCGGGCGGATGAATCAGCTGTTTTGCATTGAATGAGAAAATGTGTGAGCGAGCGACATTATTCGTTTCTGTCATTCTTTTTTTTTTGTGTCATACGCGATCCTTTGTCATCGCGCGCGCGTTTCGTCGGTGAGACAATGACGATCGAAGACAAGAAGACTTTCCTTCATGGTGCTCCGTTGTAATTCGCATATTCGCGTACACGCGAATATATTTGTACGTTTACACACCGCGCGGATCTCAGAAGTCTAAAAAAAAAGTGAAACTTCAAAGTTCTTTTCTTAATTTTAATCGACCTTTAAGTGTGACTTTTTTCTAGAAATTTCGAAAGCTTGAAAAAAATTGATGAGTACGCCGACTTTTACCGGAGAACAACAAGTGCGAATACACTGGCGCTTTTACAATGATTTATTTCTCTATGGAGCTTGTGTTAACCCATTTGCATCACAAAGAAAAGTCAAAAATTCGTTCTTATCACCAAAATTTTTTTTTACTGTATTTAAATTTTAATGAAAATGTTACAAAATATGAAAAATAAAATCAATATTGCATAAATAAAGAATTTTTACTTTATTATAGATTCACAAAAATAAACGGAATGGAATCTAATTATAGAAAAAAAAAGTGCGTGAGGGGCCCTACCGCTGGACAATAATATGCGCTTTGGTGATAAATGCCTAAGTAAAATGCGCGCATATATGCGCTCTGGTGATAGTGGCCAGGCAAAATGCGCACATATATGCGCTTATGATGCAAATGGGTTAACTCGTTAATAAATCTTACGTACTTTGCTTGATAGACGATCGCACACTCTTGTTGTAACAAGAACGAGATACATTGTCTTGTGATAATTTCTGTATGTTCTTACGTCGAATAATTTGTTGTCGATGATGCCTATTAAGCCAATTCTTTTCGCGTGTGAGCAGTGTGAAAGAGAAAATTTGAAAAAATTCAGAAGAATTAATGTAAACATTCGCCGAGGAAAGCGCGTCTGTGGAAAAATATATTTAGGAAAATCTCACAGTTAAATGTTCACACTTCGGTGAGTCGCGCGCTCTCTACACGTTCGACGAGGCCTGAAAACGAAAGGATCTTCCTCGATTAACGGATTAAGCCGCGCGGAAAAGCGCATGTCCGTTTAATCACGTGGCGATTTATTCCCTTTTGTGACGCGAAATTGCGTCGTGAAATCGCAAGAGATCGTTATTAAATCTGATGCATCCCGGCGGATCGACGAAAGCGTGCAGCACGCTCTCGTCTCAGGATCGGTTGCAGAAAGTGCGTACATACGTTTATCACGAGCTCGACATAGCCGTCACATATCGTGTTTCCGGTTTCTTCTAGAATTACTATTTGCATTCTTGATGCGCAATAAGAAAAATGTTAAAAACAATTCGCAAATCGGTCTATTTTAAATTTTAACAAATCTGTGAAAATATTTCGATTCTTTCGAGTGAAAGAACGAGAGAAATGCATCTTAATGTTTTGCATTGTGATTTTTACAAGTTACAATGAGTTGATTTTTTTTATTTTGAAAATATTTACGATTTTGTGTTGCGGTATGTATTAGTTCTCGCTTTACATCATCGAATATTGTTTTATATAACAATTTCACAGCTTTATATAATTGTTTTATTTCTTGTACATAGGTAACGCGCGCATTTCGTCGAGTGTCCCGAGGCAAATTGCTCGCCGTTTAAATCCGACCCTGCTCGCGCGCACCGTACAATGCTTTCGATTTCGCGCCTACTAATCGCATCTGTGTGCCGGCACACGCATCTCGCTGCGAGGGAATCTGCGTAATGCAACAGTTGCGTACTTGTCATCTTCGATCACTTAACACCGACGCTTTAAAGGTACAATGTTGAAGTGGATAACTGTAGATAGACAGTTAGGGGCTCTTATGCAACGAATGCGCTCGCAATTATAGATATGTTACCTGCGGCGCGCGCGCACATTGCTGCGCGCGGAACATACGAAACGGAACATTTACGCGAATGCATTATTGATACTTTGAGCCACAACGATTTTCAGACGATTAAATAAAATGAAATAATTGACATACAAAGATTTATTGAAGATTGAGAACGAGAAGTTATATCGTGCGCAACTCTCTTATATCGAGAGAAAAATGATCAATTACGCCGCAGGTTTATGGTGAAAAATGTTTTTGCACACCAAACATGATCGACGTCTAATTTTATTTAACAATTACGAAAACCAGCGCGAAGATGCGACGCTTCCGAGTCGCGTTGTTCTCGAAAGAGAACGCTTTCGGAGATAGGATGCGTGAGTCTTATCAAAGCTCACAGGATGTTGAAGATATAAACAGAAAGTTGCCGGGACTGTTTCGAGAGAAACAGTCTCTTTGTACGGACGCACGAAAAATGTACGACAGGGGGTTGCGCGAGCGGTGTGTATCCGTTTTTAAATCTATTCATAAACATGGGACGTGTTAAAAGAACGGCGTTGCGTTCGTTAAGTCGCGCTTCGCGCCGTGCGAGTGCTCATATAAATTCAAAATTTAACTTCTTTAAAGCGAGAGACGATATACACCGAGCGCTTTTCTGGCAACTCGCCAGAGTGATTTAGAGTCGGAGAGAGATTCTCGAAGGTACACTATTAATCTTCCTCCGGGTATATATATATATTTTTTTTTTCGTTTTTTAGTTATATATTTATTTCGACTTCTTTATCGCTGCGGCTTAGATCAATCGATTAACCTAATGCACTTTATGGATAGAAAAATTGTTTTGAAACAGAATAGCAATCTTGACATAGTAAAAAAAGTTGCATTAATTTTTTTTACGCGATCTTTAAATTAAACAAAAGTATCTCGTTGCACAAATCTTCAAAGATAAAAAATACATATCTAGACATTTTTCATCTTATCGATTGAACTTAGAAGAATCCGATTTGAATAACTATGATCCACTTGCTCTTTGACGTCAAGAGAAGATTCTAATCGTTATATACTTCCGCGTATTTAAGGAAATACAGAGTTATTTTTATTACATGAGCACGGTCAGATCATTGCCTTGAGTGAACGTGCGTTACAAACAAATCGCAAGACAGGCATAACAAATTATGCGGTTTATGCGACACCAGATAGCACGCAAAAAAAAACCATTTGTCTTGGATGTTTGGAGATTATAATTTTCCTGAATATTATTACACGAGAGAGAATTCTTGTCTTTTTCTATTTTAACCTCAGCTATGTACGTATCGCACAAAAATTATTTTGCATGTCGATTTGAAAAATATAAATTGGGGAAACTTTATTTAGAACGCGTGCACGTGTAAATTATATCTCTAAAATATTGAAATACGAGCTCTACGTGAACAAGATCAAAGTAGTTGTTTTGCAGAAAATTAAACCTTTGATCTCTGTCCACAATTACGCACATCGCGAGTTGAGTGTACGCGCAGAAATGTGTGTTTAACTTACCACGTGCATTGCTCAAATTGACAACTTGCTCAACAGAATTTATGAAAAGAATAAACCAACATTGCGTAATATTATGTACGCAAAAATGTTATCGCATTAAACATTTTATAAAACCTAAGTAAAAAATAAATAAAACATGTAAAAAATTTTGTTCGATCAAAACACTTGTTTTAAACATTAAGAAAGATACGTTATCTCTTTTAAAATTACTTTAAAAACTCTTTTTCTTTGTCGTTTCGGGTTACCAGAAACTAATTGCAGAAATCATGAATTTTTCATGTTACATATCTGTGTAGTGTAAAACTTTAAGAAAACCTGTTCAAAAACAGTGGCTAAATATAATTCAATATAAAAAGCACAAGATGTGTTAAATTTGTCGAGACGCAAATCTCATTTAGTTTTTTGCCAAAAACAAAAAAACGATACTCGGTAAAACGGTGCCGCCGTGCTTTTAAACACACGTTGCGCGAAATATAAATCAACGAGCGCTCACCTGTTCGCTTCGCCCTTTTTTTAACTTCCCTCGAGAGAGTGTGTGTCTCACAAACGCATATTAAAGCGCACACACGCTCCAATTTCTCGCTCTTTGCGTCGCGCGAGATCTTTTTGCAACAAAAAATAAAATGTGAACTCGGCGTTGAACGAAAACGAGCGAGCGTGTGCGATATCTCTTTTTCTCAGTGAAAACTTGCGGATTTCTTTTTCTTTTCTTTCTTTCGCGTCGCCGCAGCCGCTTCACATCATCGCTTCGCGACTGGCACAAGCCCCCGTGTTTCCTCTTCTCTTTTCTCCTTTCTTTCTGCTTGTGTTTTCGGTCGCGTGCGTTTCCGTGTGGCCGGCCGCGATGGAGGATGCGACTCGGGGGCCGTTAGTAAACTAAACTGAAGTTTTGGCGTGCGGAGGAGCGACTCTAATCTTCGAATCCCCTACCATTTCCGCGCCACGATGCCGCGTCAGGAGCGGCTTGCTCCGGCCGAGAGACGCGGGGTCTGTTCCTTTTTAGGAGATTTTATCGCGTTAGAAAAATAGAAGTTTGCTCACGAGAAACTTCTAAACTAGTTCACCAATTGAAAGATATTTATTTAAGAAGTGTATATAAAATTTCTCCACTGATCTGTTCCGCTGCACTCAATGTCTCAGACGATCGCGCATCTGTTTCATATTTTCCGTTTCTTTCTTTTATTTCTTCAATTTTTGCTCTTTATCTCGTTTTTTTTTACTTACTTAAAATACATAAAAATACATACATAAAATACTTCTGCAACATTTATCAGAATATTATAATTACCTAAGCATAATGATAGCAATTTTTTCTACAGAATTCGACGACGTTATCTAAACATCTTGATTCTCTCATATCAGAAACTTGATCAAAATCGCTTTTTTTTTCGCGATCTCTGCGGGTGCTTGACGATAACGCACATCGTTGCCGATCGGTCGACGTCGTGCGTCTTCGCGACTTCTCGGTGTTTTAAAGACAAGAGGATTTTATGATCCGTCAGCATTTGCCGCAAGGCCTCAAAGGTAGGAGGTGTACAACGCGCTCCGAGCACGGGCGCCACTCCTCTCTTCCTGTGGACGTTCAACAGATCGCAATTGGCCCCGGCTTGACTCCCGCGGATTAGATTGCAATTTATCTTGGCCTCTTTGACCCGACTCTGTGCGTGCTCCCCTCGGCCTCGCGCGTGAGCCCGCGCGTCGCACGCGCATCCTCGTCTCTTCGTCGTCGTCGTCTCGTTCCGCGGATCACGTGGTTCGGCTGCTGCGCGCCGAAAATGAACTTGCGAAGAAAACCGCGTATTCAGCAAAAAAAAAAAAAAAAAAATGACACGCTCGCCGAAGCATGCGAGCGTGAATTATAATTATTATGCATGAATTAAGTATCGCACAGCGCCCGACTCTCTGTGCGCGGTTCTTTGTAATTCATTTCACACTAGTAAAAAGTGCGTGTAAAGACATCATTAATTAACAGCAGAGATTTCAGATACGACGTCGGAGTAAAAGTTGTAGAAATTTAATTAGAGATACAGCTCGGATTATTACGGCAAAGTACTAGTATGAGATAATATTTAACTCACACCAGAAACTTACGTACGTAATGTTCATATTAAAGACTTTTATAAGTGTCTTTCAAAAAAATATGTTTTTATTTCCCTTCATTTAAACAAAAAGATTCTTCAATCTTTGTCATCGAGAAATCATAGTATTTGTTTTTTGGATATTTAAATATAATCGAGTGATTGTACCAATAAGAAACAAAGCAAAGAAGACCGATTAGGGTACTTATAAACGAGTACAGTCTACTTTTTCGGTCTACATCGTAAACAAGAACCCAATTTGACACACTTGATCAAGTTTGCTTACAAATGCGTTATTGAGCAATGCTTTAAAAAGAAGAAAGTAATCAGATGATGTTTCCTCTTTGATTGTTGTTTTCAAGTGCAAAAACATCGCAACCTCACAGTGTGCATGACCCACATCTAGAAAATATGTTAATAACGATGAAAGCGAAAGCTCGATGCACGATGTTCGTGGTCAGTGTAGTCACTTTCACGATTTCTGAAAAATGCAAGATCTAGCTCGGCTGACGCGGAGTATCTTATTAAAATTAATTCGTTCTTATCTGTTTTGTTAGAAAGTAGTGTAAAACTAATTGTTTACGAAACGATCGATATTTAAGAAGATGCGATGTACAAATTGGCGTATACGTAGAACACGAGTTAATATGGAAGAAAAGATTATGAGAAAATATACAAGTTCCCCACGCATTTTGGAACATTTCTGTTTAGTAGATCGTCGAATGTATTCGTGAGAAGTTTTCAAGTTCAGAACGACTTTGTCATCGAGATCAGAAATTACTTACAACAGGCCGAGATGCGTGAGAACGTGTAGAGAGAAGTGAATATTACGAATTATTTTTCACGCGCGCTCTCGCGATCGCCAAGTGTAAGTAAATGAATTACTCCGACATCACTGAAATCTCCGCCGACTTATTACCCTTAAAGAGAGCTGCACGAGATTGTATACGAGATTCAGATAGCGAGATTATTCAGGCGACGCCGTTCCCGATTGCAATATAAACTTCTCGAGTTAAAAATTAAACGGTGTAATTGACATATGCGACTTGCCCGCCTCTGTATGGCCCTTATGTGTCTGCGTGCGTGTAAATGCGCTTGTGTCAAGATTAAATAATTGCTTCGACATGCATTATGTGTCGGTAGACACGAGAGGAGGAGAGAGAGAGAGAGAGAGTCTCAAGACAAAAGGTAAATTGACTTAACTTGCTAACAACCATTTTGACCATAAACGCAATTGAACGTGACGTAACGAGACCGATCGCACAAAGGTTTCAAAGTACGCTGTTGCCGAATTCGCGCTTTACCAAACGAGGTTGAGAATAATACGAGGAAAAAGTGTTACGTACAGTAAACTATAAGATATCAAATATAAATCTTTAACATGCATAGAACGTTGCATTGTGAGCAATAGGGTACACCACAAAATGCCTCGTATGCATGTCTCTTCCAGGAAATATCTCGACAAAATTTTGCAATCGCACCGCAAAAGTCAGTTGTCAAATTCAAGAGAAATCCTTACTGTGGTAGTAAATGGAAATGGATTCTAGGTAGAACAAAGGAAAGTGATATTCTTTTGTTGTTGGGATCGTCTCGAAAAAAAAAAACGAAACTCTGTCGTTTAACAGAGTACACAGTGTCTATCTACTTTATTAAAAATGTAAAACAGCTCGGGCTACTCAAGTACAAAGAGACGATACAGGTAATGATGTTTCGAGTTTCGAAATGTGCGTTGTCTTATTGTTACCGAAAAATTGAATGAGATCTTAATCGATGAACAAGAAACGAGTGGAACAAGAGGCGTTTCTACGCGTCGTGATATTTGCAATAAAAAGTGTCCTCGATGAGCTCCTGAGGGATCCACTCTTCCGCCGGGAACTGATTCGAGAGCGTCGCCGCGTGATTTTCCACCTCCTTGAGGACGCGCAACAAATTCCCGCCCACCAGTTTCTTTATGTCAGTCGCGGACCATCTGCGATCCCGAGTCAGCTCGGCCAGCAACAAAGGGTAGCCAGAAACGTCCGGCAATTCCGTCGGTGGTCTGAACAACATCGTATTAAGCAACATTTTGCGACGTAAACATCCTGATTGAACAAAAAAACAGGATGTAACAGAAAAATCAAAGTGAAGAAAATGAGCAGTTATTAAAACATTGAATCATAAATTAATCAATTTTAACTAATTGATTAATATTGCCAAAAATACAAAACAAATAAATATGAAGTCATTGAAACGAATTGTTAATCGAGATTTCGGCGAGGAAAAACGTATTACGCAGCTTGTTTGAAGATGCATTAGCGCTCTATTGTGTTACTAGTAGGCGATAAAGATACGAATGACGCTGGCGCGTCTTTACTACCTCAGTATTCCATCGTAGCCCGCGCCGAGACCCACATGATTTACGCCAGCTGTTCGTCTGATGTGATTGATATGAGCTATAAGAAGACAGCAATATTTTCGGGTGGTTCCTTATCTCTCCGTGTTTACTACAATTTCGAATGTTTTGATGTTTCGCGTTACTTACGCACCTATGATGTCGTACATGGAGGCCTTATCGCTGCAGCTCAGATGCGCGCTGTCGAAACTGATCATAACCAGACCTCCGTTGAGAGACTGAAAAAAAAAAAAAAAAAAGGAACAAAATGAAAGCCGCGCGACGATTATGTCACCCGTTCAACAAAAAAAATTGTAAGTAAAGCCGTTTTTTTACTGATGAGAGAACAAATTAAATTTCTCTAGTGCGAAATTAAAATGTAGCCAAAAAAATCGATGAAAAAAAAATTTAAACTTACATTAGACAGACTCAGAGCTTTATAAAATGCATGTCAGGATTCTCGGAGAATTTGTTTCTTACCAAATTTCGCAGTACGTCGTCCGGAACGTTGCTCGTGGAATTACAGAGCGCCTTCGCAGCGCTGTGCGAGAAGATGACCGGCGCTTTCGTCACCGCGAGAGCGTCCCTCATCGTCTTCACAGAGACGTGAGAGAGATCCACGAGCATACCGAGCCGATTCAGCTCCCGAACGACCGCTTTGCCAAACGCCGAAAGGCCGTCGCTATGAAAATACGACGGCGCGTCCGAATTCGGATCGTCGACGGAGCACGAATCAGCCCTGTAAGCCGAAATCGATCTTCCAATATGTTGCAAAACTTAGAAATTCTCTAAAGCTATAATTTTTTCTAAGATCAGAAACAATACTGCTGATAAGTTTCCGCGAATGGAATAAAATGTGCAATTATGAATAGACGGAGATCGTTAGAGTTTCAAAGTATTGTCGACCCAATTAAAGTGACTTACAAAGATAACGCAAGTTCAAGTTACGTCACATATTTTACGTCACATTTCCTTTCAGCTTAGTCGGCACGCGCATGCGTATATAGCTTATAGTTAATTAACTAGTATCTCCTCGATTGCTCTCGCGGATATAATAAGCTTATTCTGAGAACTGAGATCAAATCGCTCGAAACTACTGACCGACAGAACGACGATGAGAAAATAAACATTAACCAATATAGGAGATACCAATTTGCCTTCAAGGTTTATTCTCTTCTGCTGTTATTACAATGCAACGCTCGTGTGCGCGTCACATGAGCGCGCACATGTCGTTAATCTTCTTTCTGACGACCGAAACACTCACCACGGAGTGTTGCACTTGTGGGTCAGGGTCATGTAGCGCGCGCCCAGCCGATGGAAGCTTCTCAGCACCGCCATTGAGGTGCCGATGCTGTGGCCACCCTCGATACCCACCAGACTGGCGATTACTCCGTCACGATGAGCTTTTTCCAGTTCGCTGCTTGTTGTCACCAACCGGATTCGTTTGGGGTAACGCGAGGTGAGCCTGCGCACGATGTCGATCTGCTCGAGAGTGAGCTGCACGGCGTCCAGGAACTGCGCCTCGCACGGCACGTAGGCCGACCAGAATTGCGCACCAACGATTCCTTGCTCCAAGCGAATCAGATCGGTCTGCCATTGTGGACCCCAGCTAGCGTTGCGCGACAGATTTTCATCGAAGGGGAAGTTACCCAGTTTGCTGCCGCGGTGCTTGCGCAGATTCCAGGCGAAGTCGTTGTTCCTGACGGGATATTTCACATGGCAAGATGTAAACCGAAGATTCTTTTAAATTTCGTGGTTTCGAGAAGTTTGGATATTTAAAAATTTCATTTGTAAATTTTATGCAAAAGCTGAAAACTTGTAATTATTTTTATATGTATAAAATTTCTCTTTTCAGAAAGAACTTTTATCTCGATTTAACACAAATTGTTCTCTCGGATACTTTATAGACATGTATTCACAGCTGTTCCCTGTCACTTCGAGTAATCGCAAACGAACCGTTGGAGATAAAATCTAATTTTAACTCACACAGACTAGAATCTATTTTCTTCTAATTTATATGAGACACAACTGTTACCCGTCAATCAGAGGAACCTCCGACAGCATCCTTCGGACCACCTGCAATCTGGCCTCCAACAAGTGAGAACTTCGGAGCTCGAGGGCGAGGGGCAGACCTACTCCAGCCACTAAGGCACAGCCGAGGAAGAAGATTCCAATCATCACCGCCCATCTTCTTACAACGCTTTGTCCTCAAAAAAAAAATAGCCTTTTATATTATGTTCTAATCCTTTTTTCTCGATTAGATGTACATATGTTTGTACATAAAAAGATTGCGAGAGCATCTCGAACTTCCAACGGAATCTTCTAAGACCGGGACGACTAGTCGAGCGTAGCTTTTCTAACGTTTTCTGATACGTGAAATCGCCGTGACTGAAACATTTCGATCTACCGATTCCTCAGCCGGTAACTACCGATGCAATCTCGAGAAGATCGCCGATCCGTGAATAGAAATCACACTTGAAATCGTGAAACTGTCACTCGTCGTTTCTCATTGTACGACGAGTTTCCTTAGATCGCGAACGCTTTTACGTAAGCAAGCTCGTTGACGTGCGAAATTGGAGGAAAGCAAGAAAGATCAAATACGCTTGTCGTTCGATCATCGGGAACAACGAGGGATGATGGGATAATCGAGAAAGCGTTTGACGATCACGAGCGCGACACGGTTCATAAATGTCTGTTAATTCGATTTATAACGCTTGTTTGACAACGGAAATCGCAAGTATCACTTACGACAGAAGGATACGCAAATACATGTAAATCCCATATTTTTAAATATGGACGCTCGAACGCGTTAAAAAATATTTGTTACTTATTTATCCACGTAACAATTTAAATATATTTATGTATATACTTAAAAAGTATTATATTATAATCATTAAAAAGTTATTAAAAATTATAACAATTAAACACTTGAAGAAATATAGTTTTGTGCTATAATCTCTTTTTTTAAAAAAATATTTATACTTTTAATAAAAAATTTATAAATATTTCGATTTTCTTATAAGTACATGAAGTAGACTCACTACTCTCTCTCAACGGTTCTTTAGCTTTGTTGAAGGAAGTTGAAACCCCCGTGTCCTTGATATGGTGAAGTGCATCACCGTTAGGCAGTTTTCCTATAAGTTCCGGCGAAGAGAGTTGCAGACAGGTCTGTAAAAATGTGTTAATTTGCACAAGCTATAATATCGTGTAGTGTAGCTTTAAGATTGTCTCCGTAAATCAAATCCCGAGAGATCGCAAAGATTGCATAACTATTTATCTGCGTTGTGCGAATGTCGCATTATGTCAGTATTAACAGCACGCAGCTTTATGAAAGATGTATGCACCGTAAAAACACGTTTGCCTTGAAAAAAGGAACATAGGTACAGAAAAATACAATACACACAATTATATACCTACTTAACATACAATTATGTCAACTTTCCATAGAAGATCGTAAAAATGACTTTAACATTGAATATCTTTTTTTAGTATTTTGAAAACTTCATTATATTATATAACTCTATAATATTATGCACTGCCAATCAAAAAAACTCTGTTATAATAAAACCATTTTTACGTAAAAAAAAAAAAAACGGTTCTGATACTCCGAAAATACATTTTTTTGTGTTCGATTCTATTGAAAAATAAAAGAAACAATAATCCTAACGTTTTACTATTATACTAAGTATTTTCTATTTTTAGCTAAAAAAAAAGAACTTTCTGTATGTGTGTAAAAGCAATGAAACAGCGTACACGCTTACGTGCTTCTATTCTTGACTATTCACCGCGGCTATTAATTATAGAAAGTGCTCCATAAATTATATTTTAGCAGACACTCTCGGGAGTCTTACAGACTGATGATAGGACAATTAAGAGGAAGCTTTAGAGATTGTTGTAATTAATAACAAAGAATATTTTTTACATGGCATCCCACTTACCTCCAGGATATCAACTTCTTTTTGTCTTGGAGACGGTGAATTGTAAACCATACCATCTTTGCTGACACCATAAAGCTCGAACATTGTCCTCTCCGATTCCACTGTTCGTACGTAAACTCTTTACCCTTACACTTTGGGGTTTCTGCGAGCGTCGCTGCTATCGTAAATACTGGAGAAACATCTTCCTCGACGCATGCGTCAACCCCTATATCGACCCGGAAAACAGTACGAATCCAAAAACCTGATGCATACGAACTAAACATTTATTAGCGACTGAAAAAAGCAGCTATAAGTATCACGTTTGCTTAGTTTCATATGTAATTGGCGATTTACTAATGACAAATTGCATGAGTTGCATTTATTATGTCTTTCAAAATATTTTGTTTTATAAATATCCATGCTATCAAACTCATAGGTTTTTCTAATTAATTTTAATCCATATTTTTGTCAACAAAAACAGTCTTGTCAGACGCAAACATGCTTTGTTAGTATTAGATTTTCTGACGAAGTTTTTCTTATTCTTGTAACAATTTTTTAATGATTTTTCCAGATATTTTTTACTTTGTACACACATACATAAAAATGTTATTAAAAACTTATTTCAATATTTTTTCCTGTGTATATATTATTATGTTATGTAATATAATAATATGAATAGAAAATGAGAGCCCCGTGAAATTGTTAAAGGTGCGGTAGATATAGACCGATACGAGAGTATAAAAAATACTTGGGGTTCGTGTATGTTGAACAAATTCTTTATTTGATGCCAAACGACTCTTAAATTGGGTCTTCTTCAGTGTCAAGAAAATTTTTGACTATAAATTACAAATGTTTCGAATGATTTTACAATGACTTGGTAAATTAACAATGAATTGTAACAAAATTAAAATGATGTCAACATGTTTGTCAGAGATTATAAGACAACATATAATAAACGTACAACAAAAGACTGATTTCAGAAATAATCCCAATAAAATTACAAACAAATGGTATTAATATTATATCGAACACCGGGAAATTAAAACCCTATTTTTTACATTTCTGGAATCTTATAAAACCAAATAAGTACGTTATTATATGTTGTTTATTTTATAATCTCTGACAAAAACATATTGACATCATTTTGGAGCGGGGAATAGAATTTATATTACCGGTATTGTAAGAACTTGTGCATCAGTACATTGTTTGCTCGTAAATATCTAACTGCGGTGAGTTTTAATTTTGTTACAATCCATTGTTAATTTACCATCGGCCTATATCTAACACACCTTTAATAATAATATGAATTTTTTGTATATTAATATACATACAAGATTTCAATTTTTTTTCAATTTAAGAACTAACTTTTTGTCTTTAATTAAATTCGACATTTTATTGAGACACGCGCGAAAAACAAAAAGAGAAACAAGAACACAGTGCCATCATTGCGTTATTGACAAAACTGTAATTTACATTTATTTGACAAGTGTATGTATATAATTAATATATTTATTTGAGACGCAGCTATATATTTATTACTACTAATTAAATATTTCATAGGAATAAAAAATTCAACATTATCTTTCAATTAAAATATCAATCAGCAAAACATAAAAATGTTTAGGACCGCGACAAAGGCTGCACACAACAGTCAGCAAGCGCCACCGCAAATAGTGATGTGTCGCCATCTGAGGACCATTCGCTAAGCCGCGGTGCCAGGCCGGCTTTCGAGAAGAACGCGTTTGCCGGTAGATTCGTAAGTCGCCATATTGTTTGGCTATATTCGCGATTCGCGTATTCGCGCACGCCGTCTTTTTCGCCGTTTTCGCTTGTGTCTCGCGTTTCCGCGAGCAATCGCACCGCAAACATTTCACGCAAAGGCAATATGAAGAAGATCAAGGACGTTTCCGACGACGACGAGTTCGAAGTGGACGACCCGGACGATCCGGAGGAAGGACCCTCCGAAGAGGAGTGGACTCCGGAGGCCGACAACGAGGTAAATGCGCAATTGTTATCTTCCGATTGTTCTTGTCGAATTTCTATTACGACCATATCGAGCAGCAATTGCGCTTCACGAATTCTCGCGAGTTTATCGCCTTCTCGGCGACGACCGTACCGTTCGCGCGTTAAAATGTCTATCGGACGCAGTAGCAGCAGCAGCAGCAGCAGCAGCAGCAGCTGATGTCATCTATATTCGGCGAACATTTCGCTGTACAGGAAATTGCTATCAATGAGAACTCATCACGATGTCCACGTCATAAGCTCGTTCCGACAATAACGCGCTACAGATTCATGCATGCACGTGCCAGGTGAACACCTGGCACCATCGAATGTAATGCTTGAAGTGTCGTCGCATGAGCGTTAACGGTAACGCGTAGAAGATCGTGATGATTTTCTGCAGTTTCTTTTTCGTCGCGGGAAACGAAGCCGAGATCTTATCGAGTGTATCTAGCGGTTCTCGTCGCTTCGATCGAGTTCTTTCTGGAACCGCGGTGAACTTTTGGCAGAGCGATGACATGTCGCTGTTAAGGCGTATCTTTCGAGATAAAGATGTTTGTTCATCGTAATGCTCGAACTGATCATCAGCGGCCATCATTGCCGGCCGGTCGACCATTCGATGTGGCGCCGAGTCACGAATTTTTCAAATCGTCACAAAAATTCTTGAAACAATAAAAAAAATAGACATTTAAAAAAAACGTGTAAACATTCTTATTATACGTATGATATATGCTTATACATGCTTTACTTAAGAAAAGACTGCGTATGTATGATAAAAGTCTCTTTGTGTGTACATGTTAACAGAAGGATTGTGTGTGTTAACAGAAAGTTACTTATCAATTGTTTACATTTGGAGAAAGTTCCTCTGTTTGTTTTTCTCTGTATTACACATACTTTATCTTCTTGTTGACCTTGTATGAAAATTGATTACTTGTAATCATGTTTAAAGAATGATGTTTTTTATCTTAAAACTTTGTTAATTTACATATGAAGACTTTAGTAAAAGTTAAAACATTCTATCGATAATGTGTCTTCTAATATGATATCATTAATAAATATATTAAGCTTTTTTATTTGAACTTTGTTGAAAATCATATTTGTTTATTTGTGTATTACATGATCTGAATTTAAAATATGTAGCAAAGAGAAGGATTCTCTGATATAAATATTATTTACGATCTGCTACAGAGTGCTAAAGTAAGACCACAAAGAGGAGCAACAAAAAAGCGACATCATTCTGAAGAAGAGGAAGAGGAGGAAGATGAGGAGGAGGAAGAGGAAGATGACGAAGAAGAAGAAGAATCTGATTCTGATTCAGGAAGAAAACCAAAAAGAAAAAGATCTACTAAAAAAGAAGAAGATGATGATGATGAAGATTCGGAAGAAAACAGTGAACAGGATGGTGAACATCCAAAGAATTTCCAGGTACTTGAGAAGAAGTTATATATAATGGTCTCATTAATACTGAATTATAATACGCACTATTTGTTTTAAAACATTCTGAACAATTAATATTTCTTGCAGTCTGGTTCATTTGTTATTTCAAAAGAAGATCTTGAAGTAGCTAAGAAGAATAAAAATAAGAACATATCTGAGGTAGACAAATATCCAAATTTGTGGAGGATAGATGGAAAAGCACTACTCCAAAAGTATTTGCCTTTCCAGGATAAATCTGGGAAAATATTGTACAAAAGTACAACGACAGTAAGTGCATTATTTTGCAGAATTAAATATACATATATAAGTTTAATATTGATAGCAAATAGGAATAATTCTTAATAATTAATTAAAATAAATAATTTGTAAATTTTATTTTACACCTACACAAAATTTAGATGTAATTCATAAAGATTTTATTCGGATTTCAGTACTCTGGGTGGCAAATTAGTAACAAACACAAATATGTATCACTCAACGTATCCTTAAAATCAGAAAATAGACAAGAAGCAATTGCTGAACTAACAGCACCGTTCGATCCTGCAAAATTTTTAGAGGAAGCAAAGTATGTAGATGTGTCATTAGTCTTTAGTCATTAGTCATCAGCTTTTAAATAATGTAAGCTAAGATGCTTTATTAGTTATTAGTCACTAGCTTTTAAATAATATAAGATGCAATAATATTAAAGCTATTATTGTCTTGCAGAAGTGATAAAGAAGAAGATTAAAGTAAATTAAATCAAGATTGGGCTTATTTGTTTCTATGAGTTCGAAGGAAGATATATTAAGAAGAAGAACATCTATACACAATTGACGGAGCATGTACCATTTATATGTACGTATACATACATACACAACACACGCACACAGACATGATGCGCAGTTTCAGAATTTTTGTATCGAGGTCATATTTAAACTATAAGATTGGATGGACCATATGGCTCTGAGTTTATTACTGGGAGTAGCTATTAACTGATATCTCTGATCAAATATGAGTACAATTACCGAAAAAGCTACTCGCAAATATGTGTTACATTTAATGGAGTTTGTTACGAGCAACATACTCTATGATTTAAAAAATGTTTTACATCTTTGTGACAGAAATTCAATGTTACCTAGTGTAATGTATGCATGTTGATGTTCGTTTGTGTTATAAGGCCATTATTATAGTCTACTCATAATTTAAAATGTTTTACATACATTGGCCTTGCAATCTATATAGCCATTGAGCGCGCCCTTAGTAGAAATAATTAAAGTTATTGCTTCATCTCTTATATTATAGCGAAAAATAATGAAAAAGATATTTAATATGAGCAAAAATATAAAATGAATGCTCAGAATTATCAGAAAACACACTTGGAACACTTGGAATTTCCAAGAAATTTTATCGCAAGACTCAGAAAAGTTCTATAAAAGTTATCTTTTCAAGTATTTTGCTTTTATTTTAGGATTAATCGAGTTCAGCTACGTCTTGTGTTTACTAATGTCAAAAACTTAAAACTCAAGCGATTTTCAATGTTTTTGTTATCATCATTTTTGTCGTATACAGAAAACATACACAATAGTGAATAATCTATTATTTTTTAATTTTTTCTAAAACAAACATTTTATTTTGAGCTTCAAACGAAAGTGAAAACGATTAAGAAACTACTACAATGTTTTGTTTTCTAAGATTAGGTTATTAATTATGCGTATCTTTGACTTGGTTGGAGCTAGAACCAAAAAATACTGATTACAATCTAAGCGATAAAAATTAAAAGTTTTATAGACAGATTTAATGTAGTTCGAACTGCTACGGGCGAAGCTGGGCCACTCTTCTTGTGTGTACACTTACTAATCATATAAGATGTAAGAAAACCTAGAAAATACTTCCAGTAATTGAAGATTGTCTATTCCCCGAGCAGCTGTACTGATTTACAACGTCAGAAATAACAAGTTTCTGATGTCATCCTAAGACCTAACCAATATGACTGCTCGAGGAATAGTTGATCTACAAACAACTTGCATTTGTAAATCTTTTACAATTAAAATAAATTGGTTATATTAGAAAAATGGAATAATTTGATTATCAATTGATCGGATTTTGGTTATATTATTAAAATTTAATTGAACTGACATTTTGTGCGATACATAAAACTTTTATTTTACATATCGATTTTCATAAATTTAATATATATCATTAAAATTATATTTTTTACTTGAATAATATTTTTACTGGATTTAGATATGTTCGTATGATAAGTGGATTTATTTCAACTCAAATATATTGTACGCAGCGTGTTTAGCGCAGTATTTTGGTGATAAATTCGGTATACAACATGTAAGTCATAAGTAACACACACACACATGGGAAAATATGGAATTCAAATACATATAGTAAATATTTATTGAGATTTACTGCAACATATTGTGTACATTTGACCTTTTATTTTACATAAGTGCTTTTACTGTACTTCATTATAGACAGTTCGTAACTTATTTGAGGTTTATTAGTGTGAGATTTGGTATAAATAATTAAAAAAAATATATTTATAATTACATAATGTACAATATATTTGTTATAAACACTAATAAGTTGTACGTAAATATTAGTGTTTTAACACTTTTCGAATAGTACTCAATTATTTTCATTCAGTAAACAATCTTGTATATGTGTGTTAATTTCATAAATTGTAACTAAATGCTGATAAATAAAAGTTTCTTTATTAATTGACAATGTTGTTGAATTTTAAAAATGCTCTAAATAAAACACTAATATTAGATTGATATTAGATAAACTTCTAAAACTCAATATATATAATATATATATATATAAAGTGTACAAGTTTATCAACAAACCTGTGTTCGTTTTTTACACATATAATAAGGAAATTTTAATATAGTGGTTGTTGAGCGCTTTATATATGTTAAACAAAAAATAGAGAAACCGAGTAAGTGTATCATCTATAATTACATTATATATAATTTATATAAATCTTTACGTAAGCATATCGTATGCTTATAATTAAGAAATACTATTGACTTTAATATGGCAGCGTAAAATTGAGTCTCAATAATCGTAATCTGAAATTTAATTATATATATATCTTAAATTCTTTAGGAAAACAAAGATATTTAATATTTTTTTCTTATATCACTAAATGTTGATGATAGTTGTAGAAGACTAGATGTTATATTTGTTTTTTTTGTTTTTTGGTTTTTTTTGTTTGTTTTTTTTACCTAAAATATGAAATGATTTCAAAATTATATGTAAGTTACATTTTACAAAACGGTTAAAACTTATTACGATTATATTAATTTTGCAAAAGTGACAGAAATATCAAATGTTTTCATTAATATTTCACTTATGTTCATTATAGATAGTAAATTTGTATATATTTTACGCACACATAAGTGAGTATGTGCTTAAAATATTAAATATAAATTATAAAAACAATCAAATATGAATAAAACAAACCGCTGTTTGTTAATCACAAAAGATAAATAGAGATAAACTTAATCATAATTAAAATTAACAAGCATTAATTTGACAAACTTAACATGTGTATTATAACAGAAATACGTAATATGTGCGTATGATTTTATACATCAAGCAATTAAAACGTAAGAAAAACAAAATTATTATTACTTACATTTACTATAATTGTAGATAAAAATTGGTTTCGCTCTTTTGTTTTTGGTCTTGTGCCGAGCACTAAATAAAATCTGAATAAACAGGATTTTTTATCCTTATTTATAACTCGTGATAAAATAAAATGTATAAAAAATATATATACATCTATGGTTACAACAATATAGAATTATAAATAGGGATGTAATATGTATATAAAGATATATGCCATGCTAATATTTTGCATTTAGCACAGAGGTAATTAAATGTGCGGTATATTTATCTTCGATAGTTTTAACTAAATATAGATGCTAAAAAAACGATTGATTTTCACATATGTACATTAGGTTGTAGAAATATCTTCTTTGTTAGTACAATCTTGTAAAATGTAGACTTCGAAAATATTTTGATTTTCAAAATAGAAGAATAGATCAGTTTAGAGTACTAAATAGAAAGCTCGAGAGATTTTGTAGACTATTGAAATATTTTTTTTTCCTAGTCACATTCGCCTATGTCACAAAAGTGACGCCTATAGCTAACATTTTTCTCTTCTATCTCGAAATAATCAATCTACTCTTCTAATATAAACCAGATTAAAATCCTGGTTCCATCCTTACTGATAAAACACTACTCAGCATATCGCGTATTTCCGCCATCTCTTTTCTACTTCTTGCTAACATATCCTCTAATTTTTTATTCTTTTGCATAATCTTTTCCATTTTTTTCAAGTACTTTTGTTTGTCAACGTGACATCCGCAATCCGGACAATTTTTACTCTGTTTGCAATTTTTGCATATCTTACCTTTGAAGCAACAAATTTTATCTTCCTCTGCGGAAGAATGATCGCTCGGTGCGTCTTTTTCCGCAGCTTCAAAGTGTTCTATCTTGACGAGAGATTGACCAAATTTCGGCACCGAGGATGTACAATTAGATTCTTCAGGCAAAGATTCCGTATCCGTCTTTGAATCTGTATCTTTTTTAACTTCGGTTGCTTCGATTAATATTGGTATATTTAATTTGTGTGCTCTATCGTAGAGAGATGTTTCGTCATTCGATATTTTATTTTCATAGTCTACGTGAGATTCAGATATTGCATTCGATACGCTAGAACTAATAGGACTCAAATCGCAATAATGTATTGCAGTTGTATCACATACTCTAGACTGTCTTTTAAAGCTTTTTCTCTTTTGCATCAACGTGCATTCTGTACTTAGGCTCTTTATAGTGCACACCGCGCTATCACTAAATCTTCGTCCGTCGTCGGATATTTTATTATTCATGGATTTAATGCAGGAACCGTCGCTCGATCTTCGAGTATCAGTAAACTCATATTTAGGAATTACACTTGACGATTTATTGCATTGTTGCTCGTTATCATCCGAGTTCGTTTCACTTTGAGCAAGGTGTGAGCTACTTAGCGTTGTCTTCCGATTGTTTTTCGACAATTGCTCAGTTTCCACAAATTCGAATGACAATTGTTTTACCAATTGTTTCTTATCATTCTTCGAAATATTCCGATATTCAAACGTTATATTTTCTTCTAGAGATGATTGCCTTGATTCTGCGAATTCTTCGCTAATGTCTGAGTTGTTATGATTATCATTTTCTGCATCATTGGACGTAGGTTTCGTGGTAACGGACGGTAATTCGATTAAATTCCCGTCATGTCCGAAAGCAAATGATTTTTGTCCTGTGAAGAGAAAATTCCACTTTTTTTCTATTTACAATACTGATTTATATTGATTATTAGAATGTAAAATGACACACACATTCAGGTGTCTTCTTTCTCACTTACCTATGATCATACGTTTGTTGCGCATATCAGGACTTTTAGACCGCGGTTGTTCCAAAAACTGTCTATTGTCGGGCGACAGCACGGATAACGTTCCATTATGACATATTGGACTGTATTGCTCGTAATTATACAAATTCGTATCCGCATCGTGACTCTCGTGCTCCCGCAAACGTTCCATAATTTTTTGTACAATTTCTGACGGGGCTACATGTGGCGAGCCTTTTGAAAACGTAAAAAGAACACGTGTATATTTTTTGTTATAATATATATTGCACGGTCAATAATTGCTACATAATTAAATATATAAAATGCTCATATACGTATAAACTGAGAATAAACAATTATATGTAGTGAAAATGCGATGCATCCGGAAAATGATACAGAAGACGCTTTGTAACAACTTGCATAAATAAATTTGTATATCTCAGTAGCCGGGTTATATAATAAATAGATATATTAAAACGGATTACTGCACACAAATATCTAATTGCTACATAAATGCCAAACTTAGAAGATATATATTTATTATAGGCTCTAAGAGTCACAACAAAATAATACTTGTGTTTCAAATTCGTGCATTAGTACACACCGTATTATACTCTCGCATACCTCATTACTAACGCATGCAAATCGCATGTAAAACTAAAAAATCACACACAGTTGCGCTCGTAAAGTCTATTATTTGTGCATACATAATTACTATTATCAAGTCTCTTGACATTCTAAGAAGCATACTTTTTGTTCAATACATCACATAATGAATCCACAAAAAAAACAACATTTCTCTTTCTACGTAAAACAAACGTACAACATTGCATTTCAAATAACTTTGACACATAAATCTCTAAGCAAATTGAGCAAAAACTAAAAAGCCGTGATATGCTTACTGCTATAAAATTAAAAACCAACGCAAATAAAAAAATGCAATCAATCATAATATTTCAACCAAAGAAAAAACAATTGTGCGTTTCTAGAGTAGATTGGATCGCGCACACATTGGCTCTACAACGATCCACACCAAAACAATGTTTGTTTATTAAATTTTCGCGCGAGACTTACAAAATTAATTGGTCCGGAGTTTCTGCGCTGTCGAGCACGCGTAGGCACGCTTGACGCGCTATTGCTTCCTACAAAATTGTCATGCTATATGGCAAAATATATCTGCGAATTTATTTTCTACCCCCAGAGGGATTTTTAAAGCTATATTAGTTTTGCAAAAATATTGATGAGAGAAAATTCACTTTTAACAATGCTACTAAACGAATAGCTTTTTAAGTGTTTTTTTTTCTCTACAAATGATTAAGTATTTTGTTTATGAATTTCAAAAGAATGTTATATTTTTTGTTTTACAATCGTTAAAAATGCTAAGTTCTTACCGGTTAGGCCTCTATACCCTAAAGATACGGAATCGAAGGATTCGCTGGTCTCTTGCTGCTGTTTAAGAAAATCGTCTATGGCAATTCCCGGCAATGACGACGGCTGAAGAAATCTCTTAGGAATACGAGAGAGCGGACCGTCATCCTGCGGACAGGCGGTGCAACCGCCGAAACCAAGATCGAGCAAGATCGCTGTCGGATCCGCTTTCCGTAATTCTAGTAAACTCTCGACGCTACTGCAATGACTGCTGTCCGACTGAAAACTCGCGTCCCGCGCCAGTCTGTGATAAGGAAGTGAACTGCAAGTTTGCAATTACTGCTTTAATAACGAAAAATAACGAGGGAAGAGAGCAAAAATATTGCATTCCAAAACGTGTTCCTCAATACCTAGGAAGCATCGGTGGTGCGCTCATTGCTGGAGAATTAGGAACGTTAATAGGCGCTGATATAGTCATGCTTGGGAGCTTGGAAGTTTTAGAAAACGGAATGTCCTTGGGCCCAGTCGATTTCGGAATTTCTTTTTTTTCCCGGCACTCGCTCGCAACGGCGATCTCCGACCTCGTGGACAACGGTATTGAGTCAATCCATTGTTGAACCGGCCCAGCGGTGCGCCGTTTCATTTCCCAAATTCCGCGTAACCAGTCCGTTACTTTCAGAATGGTCTCCTTGCCCACATTTTCTGCGGAATCACAGATACGTAACTGAAACTTTATACCCGTCACACAACTGAATTCAGTACGTACATTTTAATGCGCATAATTATGTTTTCAATGTGCGCGTGTGAGACAAAGCTACAAAAATTCCAAGTGGATCGCACGACACAAATGTGTAAATATCGAAACGATAACGAAGATAAAGAAAGAAACGTTTCTGCACATCTGCGTAATTTGAGAGTTACATCACGTATGTGTATACGCATACACATACGCGACACAAACTTGGTATTTCCACAATACAAAAGACACAATTCATTGTCCGAACAGACTCTACGTAATTTGTCAACGTAATAAACAAAAAACTGAATATATCTCGTCGATTAAATACCTGGATCCATATCCTGTATCGGGCAGCATAAAGATAAAGCATTGTAAAAAAGAAATTGCGTGTGTGCACGTGCTAAATATATTATATATGTATCACACAATATTTTATATATGTATATATATATATATGTCGCGCGCGCACAGCATCGCACGCTCAATTACATGTTTATGCGTGATTGCGAAATTCTTAATGGACTTCAACGAGCGGCGAACTGTCGCGTCTAAACGTGATGCTTACCTTTCTTCAATTAGACGGTGGCCCATGCAACGTTAGCGTGTTGTGTCCTGGCGGTAATCGGAACGGTCCGGAATGGCATGTTTGCGCGATCGTCGTCGCTCGATGAACGATTTGTGTGCGGCGCGGAAGGATTGAGACCAGTTGCGCGCCACTTCTGCTTGTCAAGTCAAGTGGCCGTGACAATCCGCACGTCCCAGCCACGTCATGTGTCCGTGCGGACTATCAGTGACGGATCGCCGCGTTCGAGACCCTAAACAACAAATTCCAACGATGAGAGAAACAATTGTTACACGTCGAACAAGAGTGTTGCACACACACGCTCGGTAAAAAAAATTTTTTTCCGGATAGATTTTATTCAGTCGCCTGTGAAGGATCGTTCACTTACCGGTGCAGTCCTTGACACATTATATGCGTATATATGTACATGACTATGGATGATATATATGTGTGTGTGTACATATGTAATGCGCAGCTGACTCCGAGGACGTCTGCTGCGGTCGCGCTGCTGCGCGTGCGCGAGATTTGTCAACGAAACTTCGCGATATCGCCGACAGATGGCGTTTGCATGCCGAATGCGAGAATTTAAAAACCGAGATCTTTCTTCGGACGCGCATCGCGATGTCTGCGCGATCAAGAGTTTGACAGCTGACGCGGAACGCGGCAACAAAGGTAAGGAAATGAACGTCGAGGTAAAATAAAAATGTTTCTCGATTCGATATAATCGCAAGATATGCGTGCACGCAAATGGTATTATAGATGTACGACGCGTTCGACGGGATCAGGAAGATGACAGGAAGCGCCGAAGAACTTTTGAGGCGCAAAATACACGGCGGCGCGTCGGGCTGACGCCGTTTCACAGCTGATGCGCGATGACGTCACTAAAACAAAGCCATGCGCGCTCGGCGGCGAAGCGCGAGAGCGGGTTCGAGCAGTTCTGCAAGCGCAGCGGACACACATTCGGCGTCCGTGGACACGGCGAGGTGCGCTTCGCCCTGTTCTCGGTGTCGCGAGCGATTCGTCGTATCCCGTCGTCGTCGTTGCCGTCGCTGACGTTGGGTCCCTACGTCGTTTGTCGCGCGCGTTGTCCCCGCCTCGTGTCTCACACGAGCCGCCTCTCGTCCTCAGGATGCCGTTCATATCCAAGGACTGGCGCAGCCCAGGCGAGGAATGGGTGAAGACAGTCGAGGGTTGGGAGAAGAAGAAGATCCTTGAATGCGCCAACAACAAAACTCTCTCGCTACTCCTGCGGTGAGTCGTTTCGCTGTGTCCTCCGCGTTTTCTCACTTTTCCTCTTTTTCTCTCGCTCCTCCGTCCGTTCTTTGTTCGCCGCGAGACGACTACGCACACGCTACACACACACGCGACGCACAGCACAGCTGTTACTCTAACGTTTACATCGATCCGACTGTGACGATCCGTTTGTTTACATGCGATCAGCGCGCGAGCCAGTCTCTCGCACCAACGACGACTGATGACGATTCGACTTGTCGCGGAGATTTTTCCTGCATCGACGACGAGGAATCGTCGTGCGGAACATGCTGTTTTAATGTGACAGGTACACATGTATACGCGCATTGTTTGGAACGGTCCAACAGACGGATTCGAATTCTCGATGACTGTTCGTGCAAATAATTGTTTGCTCGCAATACTTGATTAATCTTAGTCTTTATCCTTTAGCAAATTGAATGATATTTTTATCATATCTTTGACGATGTTATAAGTAATTCTGTCGCGAATGACAAGCACCGTCGAGGTGCCGTTATTCCTCGGTTTGCTACTTCGACTTTGACTTCGCCAACAGTATTGCGTGACAATCGTAAAAATTCGAACTTGTGATTTACGAGACCGACGAGAATAACGTCCAATCGCGATCTTTGCGACTTGCTGCGGGTGATACCATGTTGCGTCCGAGCTTGCGGCTCACTCACGTGAGCCGTAATTTTCAGGTGCGTGATTTTTCCAAGTTCCGCGCACGATACGTAACGTCATTCAAAATTGATGTATGATACAGATAACGTGACACACGCCGAGCAGAGAGAATTGATCTTTTTACATCGTTTCGCACTTTCCACACGGTTATAACGAGACCGGTATATCGGTGAATGTTGTTCATGAAACGCTAAAGTCGTTTTTGAACGTTTCGGACGTGAGTATAAAAAAATACATCCATAAATAAATCGACGCTGTAAATGAAAAGTAGGGCTCGCGGTTTTGTGAAAAGATAAAAAAAAAAAAAAAGTCGCGCACAGAAAGCATTGACAGGCCTATTGTATCGTTTCAGTCTGAACATCCGTTCATTTTTCATCGGGTTATCTCACGGTTCTTGAGATTGACGTGATTGAGGTTCGAATTGATCGCCGATGTTCTGACGTGTGCTTTGCGGGTGATGCCATTTCTGGCTCTTCGCTCTCTCTTTGTTGCGTGAGGCTAAATATTATCTCTCCGCGATATTTATATATTACAATATACAGTAGGATTTTTATGGATCTTCTTTTAAAACTTTAAAAACTTGTTTGTTAAAAACCGAAATCGCTCTGTCACGCGCTCACTTTTCATTTTCTTCATCAAACGCTTACCTTGTTTTAAAAAGCGATTATTTTCTCGGGAACCGGAATTTTTCGCAATTTGTAAATTTAGACTGTTGAATGAGTAACTCATGGGCAAATTGCGTGTACTTTCGCGCGGTAATAGTTGCGACTGACGTTTCTAATTTGCGATAGAGAAACAAATTCGCAAAACCCGTTTCTCTCGTTGAAATACATAAATGCGCAGTGAAAAAAAATTCGTAGTCGCCTCGACACACGCAAAGGAACCGCGCGCGTGTTTAATCAGATTCGTTCGCAATCGTATAGAAATCGATTAGCGTGCGTTTGTAGATTTTTATCGATGCGGTCAATCTGAACCACACTTTGCGCACAGAAATACACTCGAAAATCGGCGCGAAAATAAAAACGATTACGTACACGGCGGAAAGAGAGAGTCGATTATTATTATTTCGCTTTTGTATCAACGCAATTGCGTGTCTAATGCATACGTCTCACGAGTTTTTCCCAACATTCGGTTTCTTAAGGATTAATTAGATTGCTGGTAAGAGCATCGGCCGTTGTTAAGTCGAGCAGAATGTTGTTGTTTTCTTCCTCTTGTGAGAAAAAATGTGATGCCGACTCTAACAAAAAGAAGCCAATATATGTGGTGACGCACTTGTGTCGTTTTTTTTAACGTTTCAAGTTTTAACGATATAACAATGTTGTCAGTTTTTTTGCACACTTATGCAAAAGTTTTTTATTTTGCTTTTTCGACTTTCTAAATATGCGCAGTTTGTATAGCGCGACCGTTTTACAATTTTCGAGCGGAATATTGATTGAATCTATAAAAGCTCTTTGTTATGACAACACTTCTGTTTCTATATGTATATATATGTATCTTTCTTTCTAAAAATATACGCGACGCGAACAATATCTCGCTTTTTTAAATGATACGCGTCGCGAGATGTACAATATTTCGATAAGAATTGATTATCTCAAAATGTAACACAATCAATGCCGTGCCGTTTTCACGGATTGAAACTCACTGTGCGGTAATTAGACTTTGGGATTACATTTCGAGATTTGTAATTATCCCGGGATGCGTCGGAAACCACATCATCGCGGTGGTTGGCGCGCGTCGACCGTTCGGTCGCGCATCGCGACTCCTTCGACCGGATATTGAGCCCATTGTGCTCGTTGCACCAGTTGTGTACGTGGCCGTGACAGACTTAGATAATTAGAGTCGCGGCGATCTATCTAGATTCGCGGCTGGCTGTCGAAGAGCGGCGGTTTTGGAGGTTCTTTGTCTCTTCGTTACGTTTTACGCACGCTTCGCGCGCGCACACGAAAAATAGCTGGATGCACCGAGCGCGCCGTAAAACACTTCGGTTTCTCGCGACGTACACGTCTCGTAAATATTGTCGTCGAACGACAGCGTGAGCGAGCGACACACGTGCGTGAGATCCAGTTGAAAACCAAAACGTGCACACACACTCGCGCGCGCGCGTAATTTCGTCTGCGAATTCGATTAGTTCGCGCGCTGAATTTTCTACAACGAAATAAACACTTGAGCTTTAAAATTGTTTCGACATGTTATTTGATTTTATTGTACATAAGTATGTTTTTAAGCGACGATATACTGTAGAAATTTCATTGTTGCACAATGAAGTATCTGCGCAATAAAAAGTTTATTTATTATTGTAATTAATTAATTAACGAACGAAGGACGCCGCGATTTATTTAAGCGATAACTTTCCAAATCTGAGGCGTGACTGATTTCTAGATCGACGTTTGACAAAAAGCTTTCTCTTCTGCGCCGCGATGAGAAGCGAAAGGCGGTCTCTTCAGACATCCGTTTTAACGGTGGATTTATTGCCGCGTGCAGTATGCCGATCGATTCGCCATGTGCACTTGATAATTGTTTCTTATTATCGCGCGTTTCCGCGTAGATTTCTGAAAGTTTATAAAAAGTGAGCAAAAACGTTCTGTAACGCGTTACGCTGGTGCAGTAAAATAATAAACCTTATGAACAATGAAGCCGCTTAAAGTAGCACCTCTTTTCAGATTAATTCGAAACCTTGCATAATTAGTTCGTCGGATTCGATCGATGTGCACACCGACATCTGATGCTCGACTGCGCGCAATTTGAATTCGAGAACTATAAATAAACGATAATTTGCGCTCGACTGAATTAATTACTTCTGATCGAGAATTGCGAGAAATGCATAATTGCGCGTGTTCTTCAGAAATATAACTTCTCAATACCGATAGTTTGTTTTTAGGTAAGTGAAAAAGAAGACATAACAAATGACAATTTTGACAAATGACACCTAGATGACAATTTTCTTGAAAGTGGATAATTAATTTTGTGGAAAACATGTTACCTCGATTTCGTGTTAACAAATTGAAACTCGTGTGTGGTTGCACGCAAAAAAATTTCGACAGAGCATTCCGACATCGTCGCGCTTTCTCGCATTCGTCGAAGGAAACCGAGATTCGCCTTGTTCCTTTGCGTCACGCTGGATGGAGACGTACCTGATACATAGGAGTTAGGACGGGGATCAAAGCTAACTGAGAATCCGTTTCTTGGAAGCGGAAACACATTGTTGGTAGAGGAAAATTTAGGTAGCAGAGAAATTCTATTCACACACTCGTGAAATCTTCTGTTTGAAAAGCTGTTTATGGAACAATATTGATTCGTAATTTAATATGTACATATCTAAAGCTCCATGAATAACAAAAGATCCAATAACTTTGCGAGAAATATGAGAGAACAATATCAACAAAATCTGAAAAGAAAATGCGTATATATATATATAGTTTTTTCTAAAAATTATTTTAATATACTCTGTGTTTCTAAATTTATATAATTTATGATGCACGTATTTTCTTTTTCGATTTTGTTGATATTGTTCTCTCATATCGCTCGCAAAGTTATTAGATCTTTTGTTATTCGCGAAGCTTTAGAAGTTTTAAAGACCATTGTGTGTCAATTTTTTAGCCAAGATTTGTGCGAAAGCTCATATTTTCCAACAACTCAATTTTATCTCGAATAAACCAATAAATTTATTGAATACATGAACAGGTTACAATTCAAAGCTTTGTACAAATTCATCCATTAAAACTTAGTCACAGAGAATTATCACAGAGAATTATAGTTCAAAGAGATTAGAAGAGTACTTACTTGGTTTTAATCACATTCTTCAGACTACATATATGTATATGTATATTGATCGTCTGACGTTTTGCGAAGTAACCAATGAAGTCGACTTGTCGAAGTTCGTCGAAGATCAAACGCGACGAAGAATACCTTCGAAACTTTCGCCCGCACGTAAATAAAATTAAATTCATCGAAAGTTTAATTTGTTTGAAAGAAAAAACGTTTTCATTACACGCTGAGGTTCGTTTCGAAACACGCGCGGAATCACGCGCGTCGCGATCGATGACCAGACATCTTCCTATCGAAGAAGATTCGTTCCGCGTTCTCGTTTGATGGGATTAGAGGGGAACCGCATGGTCCTTGAGCCAGGACCAGAGGTCGAATTCTCAAAATGGGAAAATATACTAGCGCGAGCGAGAATCTTGCCGCCGATGCGGAAGTGGGTCGTGACCCAGCTCCCAACGTGACCTGCACCAATTTCGCGATTCCCCTCGCATTGCCGCGCCAGAAGCCTTGATAAATTCGGTTAGACGACGGCTTCCGCGAGCGCGTGGATCCGCCACGGGGCCGTCGGCGATGATATCACTCTTTTGCGCGATAACGGGACGGAGAAAAAAAATATTTATACAGCATACAGCATCGAGAATGCGTATCTTATCTCGCGTCCAATACAGTTTTTCGCGTATTTGAAGACTCGTCTCTTTGTCTTCGTTTAATATTGAAATTTTTGCTTTGCGCAGCTGAGTGTAAAAATTCGCGCCTCGCGGATTTAAAAGAAGCAAAACGCACAGCGAGATATGAAAATTTACATGCTCTGCGAGAAGACGCTCGTTTTCCTCAAATGGCAAGTCAGCTCGAAGATGTATTCCTTCTCCCCCGGCACTGTGAAAAAGAACAGAAGCGTGCAATTGCCGCGATTATGTGAACCGTGTGGTTACGGAGAAAGTAACAGAATTTTTATTTCAAGGAAATCAACGCGAGCAAATAACAGATCCATGTTGGATCGCTTTGCGCGGTAACAACGCGTGTATTTTACATGTTGGTTTCAACATTTAATTTTATCATTTACACAGTCTGTTGTTTAGAATTCGCGCGCAATTTTGTGTGATTATTTGATCGCGACCAAATTGTCAATTCCAATTGCATTCTGATAACACAATTGCGAGCTTGATACACGTGCGTATTTTTATTCCGCTGCACTTGTTAAAAAATTGAGAAAAGGCGGGAGGAAATTTTATGAACACAAAAACCCCGCTGAAAATACATTCTGCGGGGAATATTTTTATTTAAAAAAAATACAATTTTTTTTTATATGGAATATATTTTCTCTCTCCGTAATCAAACTCGACCTCATTATGAGGGATTAATTGCGCCTGTTTTGCCGATCTTTATTGCGCCACGCACGCACTCCGATGGATTCTCGCGATACAGACGGAAAAGAGTGCGAGAAGCGGAATTTTCTTCGTTTTTCCTCTTCGCGCTGTTCTCGTCTTTTTTTTTTTTTTTAACATTTACGCTCGGCTCCGTTCGCGTGCTGTTATTTCAACGATTTAACCGTACACGCGGTATCATCCTACGCGCGTTTTCCCGACTCGCGGACGGGGATTAGTGCCGCACACGCGGCAACAACCACGAAAGGGTCGGTGAACTCTCTGATGGAAGTAAAAGTTTCACACTAATCTCCGCACGCTCCGCATTCGGGAATTAATTATTCGCGTGTGTCATGCGATACGGGTCGCGGCGTTGCACCGTCGTTTCGTTACGTGCCGGGATTATCTGGTAAAAAAAAATCACCGTTTATACGCATTATATTTATCTCGCCTCTATTAACTTACAAAAGCTGGCGAGTGTTTCGCCGCAAAGTCGCTCCGCAATTAAAGCATCCGCGCACACAAGTAAAAAAAAAAATGTAGTTTCTTCCAATTTAGAAGAACATTTCAACAAGCGCAATGTCGGCAGATTGGCAGCGAATTACTGTCAATTATATGAAAATTTTACGGCCTGTTTTTTTGATACGACTACGTATCTCTTTTTCACAGATCTTGCTTGTTAAAATTCCAAGTTCTCACGTAGATCTGTCCGAGAACGGTCTTGTTTTACGAGGTAACAGCGAGAATTTTTCGAGCGGCCGTTAACGGATGCTATATTCGTCTCGATCCAAATCCAGAGACGAAGTCTCTCCCGTTCGCGAATCTCCTTAGCTATTCATTCCGCGTGTACCAAACTCCGTCGCAGAAATTCTGCGCACTTCCGCATCGCTATGAGCCTCTATTCTCCGCGACGCTGATCGATCCTCAAACTCGCTGTGAGACGCCTTCTTCTTGAGAATTTTTTAATCTACGTGATGTAATTGTATCTCACGTGGAGTCATTAGTTTTCGTACCGGACACGAAACGTTTCAATTGCATTTTACACGTCGTGTCAATCGCCAGTGTATGTACACGGCTGAGGTATAACCAATATTCTTTTATACACAGTACAGAAATAGAAAAGGTAGTAAAGACGAGATCGTGTGTGTGTGTGTGTGTGTGAAACACTTACAAAGTCACATTTACTTTCCATGCAAGTACCGCATCCGCAACTTCGGAACTGTGTCACTGTATTGACAGTCGGAGAACTTTTCTGTGTTAATACAACTAATTTCGAAATGCCCGTTTGATGACGAAACCTGTAATAAAAAAAAAAGTGTCTTAAATTTTACATTAATACCATTCGTAGCTTTTATTCCTTTTTCGATATAGCTTTTTCGATATAGCTCACACGATACATATTTGAAAATCGCCCGTTCCGATATATCTCGGTCAGGCGAGGATTCGTTTGAATCGATCTGAAAAATTATTTGCCATTGAAATTAAACTCGGTTAGACCGCGCGACATGATGTCAGATCGCATAGATTGTATTCTGTTCTGACACGTGATTTTTTTTCCTTTTTTTTCATTTTTTTTTTTTTTTTTTTTTTTTTTTTTTTTTTTTTTTTCTACTTTTGCAGAGCGTGTGAAACCGATCGTTCTAGTTACGTCGATACTTCGAACATGTTGTCGGTGAATTTC